TGATATCCACAGGAGTGTGCTCAGGTATTTCAAAAATAAATTGATTTTTAGAGAATTTGGGAGGATTATCATTCACGTCCTCTATCTTAACTTCTATTCTGTGTAACTGCCATGGCTTTTCCAGCACAATTTCAGACAGTAGAATACATGGTTCATTCTGACCACACAGGGACTCCCGATCTATTTTATCCTTTACTGTCACATCCCCAGAATGAGGATCCAGCTGGAAATACTGCTTGGAGCTCTTAGAAACCAGCCGCGCTCTCCGAGCAGACAGCTCCTTTGCATCCACTCTCAAATCTTTTAGCACATTCGCTACCAGAGACCCACTTTTCTCCTCCTCTGCCACTGAATAGAGGAAAGACTCACACATTGCTATGCATGCACAGAGACACAGGGAAAAAGACCAAACTTGCCTGATCTTGAGGGGCATTTCCATTCTCCCAGCCTCTCCTCCTGAAATGCAAGGCATTGTCCTCTTGTCTATTCCAAGGCGTGTATCTTCTTAACTGTATTTTTCTTCTGAATGTGACACTGTGTCCTGCTTATTCCTACTGAAATTTCTGAAGACTGGCTTGCAATAGGGATCTGCTCTTTTCCTGTGTTGATTCCTTTGTCTAATGGCTACAGATCTTGAGGAGAGCAACTGCTGCTCCCCAATTTCCTTCTTTTATCTTGTGCAATACCGCCACCTTGTGTTTGAACAATGTTATGGCGTTACAAAAAACAAAAGATTTTCCAGAATATGAGCATCCATGTGGAGAGGCAAGAGAGCAGCCACCCCAATGAAACATAAACCCCATATTCCCAGCTTCCTTTCTTTTTAAGAATTTCTAGCATCTTTAGAACCTGAGATATGAAATACAGTAAGACATATATTTTTCTCCTTTTGATGATGATGACAATTTGGTGAGAAATTATAGTATTATCACCCTACATTTGCTTCCATGAGTTCCTGCAGACACAATATGGGCTGTACGATTTGTGTCCAGCTAAGTCATTCACAGTTTACACTCACTGAAATCAATGCGCATGATTTTTTTATTTATGTATTTTTTTACATCCATTGGTCTCAGTGGGACCTCTTTGAGTTCCACTTAGTTGAATACAATCCTTAGAACCTTGTTCCTGCTCCCAAAATTATTATGTCATGTTTTATATTTCTTAGGCTGCTGAAACCTCCCAATGTTTGTTCCCCCAACACACACACCCATCACACCTAACCTACCCCACAGGGCTGCTTGGAGGATAAAACGGGAAGCAGGAGAACTATGTAGACCACATCGAACAACTTTTACATTATTAATGTAAAAATAAATAAATAAAAACAGTCTATCTGCGGGGAAAGAGAGGCTTGGAATGAAGAAGAGTTCCCAGCCTTGATGACTGACTGATGAATATACTTCAAAGGGCATTTCATTAGAATGAACGTCATGTCCTACAGGCAACTCCCCCTCTTTCTCTAAAGTATACGCCACACACATGCTCTTCCAGAAATGTTAATATTCTGTATTATTAAGGTTTCCCTGGCCATTCTGTCCTTTCACTTCCACACAGAAGATGAATATGTGCGTTTCAATATAAAGTTCACATTCATCTGTAAACATGGGCATGTGAGGAAGAGTCACTGTTACTTACTACTCATTGAACTGGGTTCCATCTTCCTAATGTGATATATACAAGTAGGAGCCTAGTATAAAATGTTGTACAGATTAGTAAAACTGTTCAGTGCCCCCCACAAAAATACGCTATTCTTTCTCTCTCTTGCTTCCCTTCCCCATGTGACATTCTTTTTCTACTCCCCTCTTTTCCAGCTGAACATTCTCTAGCTGGGGCCCAGAGAGGAACCTGTGTCAGATCTTATCCCCAGTCAGTTGGGCCTCCCACCTTGTGACAACTGCCATATCTGCACACACAGAGTTCAGTCAACACATGGCACTCCGATCAGCCATGGGTAGAAATACAGTAGGACACTTGCCATAATGCATATACTTAATACAGATGTTTATATTGATAGTTATACTTTATGTATAAATCTCATAACCTAAGATAATACAGATCTTGTAGAACACAATGAGAGACAAGTTTCTAAATACTTCGTGACCCATTATGTGGTGTGGAAGTTGTTTATAGGAAATGATATTTGTTCCAATGAAATGTCATATAGGAACAGAACAAACTTCAGTTCAACCCTGATCATCCCAACATGCACCCGTGAAACTGATTTATGATGTATGACAGTTGATTACCCTCAACGGCATTTTTGCAGGTTTCTGAATACAAGGGGAGACAATACTACTTAAGTCTCAGGTGGTTGTGACCAGGAGAATCTTTTTCTATCTCTTTTAGACACCAGGTATTTCTGGAGTGATTTACAACACAATCCTAACTATGTCTAATCAGAGGAAACTACTATTCAATTGAATGGTGCTTCTTCCTAGGTAAGTGGGGTTAGGATTGCAGCCCTAGTCATCATCATATGCAGTGGTCCAAAGATGCTGCCTAGACATACTTATGTAGTTGCCACCATCCCTCTTCCTCACTTCTGGGTTCTCTAGCACATGCTTGTTGGCTCAGGGGATAGGACCAAGTTGCTTCTTTAATTTGTGCTGAGGGTATGGAGAATGGAGGGAACACAAGAATCTCTTCCAAGCAATGGTAAAGACTTCTGATGTGCTTGATCTGACATCAGTCTGGTGGGACTTCAGGTTACAGGGTCTGTGCACGGCTGAGTGTTCTGTTCAGTAAGTCTTACAGCACAATCTTAACCATGTCCTGCACTTGCAGGAAGGCACTATACAAAAAATATGTTGCCAAGTTTCAAAGTATAAGCCATAGAACTTAATGCCTCCACGCCTCATTTCTCATTATAATGGTGGGATGTGATTCAGCCAAATCAGCCTTGACTAGGTTCCCACAGCTATGAGCATATAGCACTTTTTCATCTCCTTCCCCCCTTCGCTTTTCTGTCCCTCACTCAGCCACACTCTGTCAGTGTCTTCAACTGAAACTGACTTGCAAACTGCACAAAAGTCTCCTCCATCTTTTTCAGGGTGAGGACATCCTCTTGGCCAAAAAAAAACATATTAAATAAGAACTATGAATATCTTTCACTACCATTACAACACATACTAGACTTTCCTGTTGACCTAAGTCAACAAAGCATTTGGCAAAAGATACAATCCAAAAGAGAAACCTTTCCAGAAAAAGCCCCCCATTGATGTAGATTTAAGAAAATGCAGAGCACCTGCCAATTTGCCACCAAAGTCCCTCATTACACAATCAGCTCATTCTATCCTAGGTTTGGTATGCACCATCCTCAAAGGTACTTCTTTACAATGCCAGGTTTCAATTCAGTCTGTTGCCCATTTTGCAACTATAAACTGCAGAACCTGATTCTTACATCAAAGGGCATGTTGTTCAGTGGTAAAAAACTGCTCTGCATACAAAGCATGCCTGGTTTCAAACCCTGGCATCCTCAGGTAGGTCTGAAAAGATACCTGGACCAATGGTTTGACTCATTAAAATACAGACTTCTATATTCCTGCTTTTCCTGCTTGGCAGGGGGTTGGACTCGATGGCCCTTGTGGTCTCTTCCAACTCTATGATTCTATGATTCTGTTGCTTATGTTTCCCTCTCCCACATTGTTTATTATAATGGCAGATTACAAGTCAGCCTACTTGCCCTTAATATATTAGCTGTTCAAATTATAAAGCAGAGAACTATGAGAGCCCAGATTTGTTTGCTCAAAATGCCGATGGTTTAAAGGCCTGGATAAATAAAAAGGTCATCTAACACTAAAAAGGGTACTCAGAGATCCTAGGCAATTCCACAGGTGGGGTGCCACCAGCAAGAAGACCCTCTAAATAATGCCATGTATATAACTGGGAAGCCTGCTCTAATCAGGGCTCCTGTGTGCAGGTACTTCAGCAGCTGCAGCTGCAGGTATGTTGACCACACCTTGGAGGTATGTATATTCTGAGAAACATTGGTGTATCTGCAGTGGCTATGATGTTCTGAGCGAGTTTTAATATGCAGAAAGTCCAAAGGCAGAGGACCTAAATAGCAGGAGGGCTGAAGGAAAAATATCTGAATTCAACCATGGGCTGGGAAGAGGTGGCCTGCCTGAGAAATGGAAGGGTGGAAGAAGAGAGGAGGAGCGAGGAAATATCAGATGGAGAGGATGGAAGAGTGATGAAGACAGAGGAAAAAGTCTCACATGGACTTGAAATAAACAGATCATTTTTAAACTGAAGCATGCTCTAAAATGTCAAAATATATTGCCAATAAATTTCAAAAGCAACACAAGAACATCTGATATGCCTAATTACCAAGCAAAAAGAATTATCAATGTCAAAGTGACTAACTGGTGTACTTGGAAATTATTTCACCTTTTCCTCTGATTCTTCTTTCCCCGCCTGGTCAGGAATATCTTGGGAAGCAGACGGAGGGGTCTGGTTCACATTGAGGTTTGGGTCCCCCACAGAAAACACAGGAATGAGGGGCCTGAGGAACCTGAACTCGCTGCTCAAGGACCCACTGGTTAAGCAAACATCGTAGTGGTAACTCCTGGAAAGCGACCCGCTCTGAGAATCGCCACAGTTCTCTGGGATGTCGGGTCTGGCAGGTGGGAAGTGAGGAGGGGCAGCGATAAAACTTTCCCTGGGATCCCTCCTGCAGATCTTGATGGCAGCAAAGGAAACAATGCAAACGAGGAACACAAAGGAGACTGCAGCCAGGCAGATCACCAAATACAAGGTCAAGGTCCCATCTTCTTCGTGCTCCTCTTTACTGACCTCCACAGCCTTCATATAAGGATCCGAAAAGCCACCCACGGGAAGGACATGGAGCATGGCAGTGCTGCTCTGGGGAGGGAGCCCGTTGTCCCTGACCACTATCAGGAGTCTCTGCTTGCTGGTGTCTCGCTCGCTCAGGGCTCTCCTGGTTCTCACTTCCCCATTCTGGGCTCCTATGCTGAAAAGACCAGGGTCTGTGGCCTTCAGCAGCTCATAGGAAAGCCACGAGTTCTGGCCAGAATCTCCATCCACAGCCACCACCTTGGTGACCAGGTAGCCGGCCTCCACCGACTTGGGCACCAGCTCATTGCAGGGGATGTGCTGTTCTGAAGAGGGTAGAGGAAGAAGGGAGCGTTGTCGTTTTCGTCTAGGATTACGACTCGGACAGTAACTTCTGAGCTGAGGGGAGGAGAGCCTCCATCTGTAGCCCTCACCATCACTTTGAAATCTTTGATCTGCTCATAATCCAGAGATCGGAGGGCATACAGATTTCCGCTTTCAGAGTTGACTGAGATGTAAGAGGCCACAAGGCCATCAGTGACCTTCCCAGGCAAAAGGGAGTAGGTGACCTTGGCATTCTTCTCAGTGTCCAGATCAGCAGCATGGACTGAGCCAATGAGCAGTCCTGGAATATTGTTTTCCCGTATCTGCATTTCACATGAAGACTTTTCAAATACTGGAGGGTTGTCATTGACATCTGAGATCTGAACGTTAATAATTCTTGTTGAAGTGAGCCTGGGGGAGCCTTGGTCTACGGCTGTGATGGTGATATTATACTCTGAGACCTTCTCTCTGTCCAAGGGACTTTGGACCACAAGCTGGTAATAATTATTCATAGTGAGTTTTAACATAAAAGGAAGGGTTGCCTCCACAGAGCACACAGTTCTGCCATTATCACCATAGTCTCGGTCTATGACACTGAAGAGAGCCACAAGTGTCTCCAGGGGAGAATCCTCTGCCACAGGACTAGTGATGGATATGATGGACACTTCAGGGACATTGTCATTCATGTCTTCAATGTCTACCAGGACCTTGCAATGACCTGAAAGACCCCCTCCATCTGTAGCCCTGATGCTCATGTCATAGCTGGTTTCCTTTTCATAATCAAGCTGACCAGAAAGGGTGATTTCCCCCGTGATTTCATTTAGGTGAAACAGATCATATATTTTTTCTGGTACCCGGTTGAATGAGTAGGTGATCTGTGCATTTGAGCCAAAATCCAAATCTGTAGCTTCCACTTTGAAGACCAGAGTACCCTGTGGGCTGTTTTCTTTTAACCTAGCTTTGTATTCAGACTGGGTAAACTGAGGAAAGTTGTCATTATTGTCAAGAACATCAATATTTATTTGAACCGTGCCTGTTCTCTGTGGCACCCCTCCATCTACAGCCATGAGAATTAATCCAAAGTGTGGCTCCTTCTCCCTGTCCAATGGCTTCTCCAGAACAAGATCCACATATTTCCTTCCATTCTTGTTGCTCTCCATGCTAAGTATGAAATGTTCATTGGGACTGAGAGTGTAGTTTTGGATGTTATTCATTCCCAGGTCCTCATCTTGGGCAAATTCCAAGGGGAAATGAGTATTTGGAGGGACATTCTCAGGAATTTCCAGATCAAATGCCTTTTTAGAGAATTTGGGGATATTATCATTCACATCTTCTATCTTGACTTCAATACTGTAGATCTTTAAGGGATTTTGCAACACAATTTCAGTGTGTAACAAGCAAGGATCAGTCTGGCCACAGAGTGCTTCTCGGTCTATTTTATCATTTATCAACAAATTCCCAGTCTTGGTATCAAGACGAAAATATTGCTTACTGTTCTTAGAAACCAGCTGGGCTCTGTGAGCTGACAGCTCCCCTTTTCCCAGTTTCAAATCCTCCAGCACATTAGCCACCAAAGACCCCCTTTTCTTTTCTTCAGGCACAGAATAGTGAAGTGATATACTCACTGCTCCATGAAGACAAAGGAAAAGCAAAAAATACAGACCTTGTTCCTTTCTGTAGCTGTCTCCCATGGCTCAAGAATCTCTGGCCAAAAGATGAAGTTTCTGACACACTTCCAATGATAATCTCTGCTGCTGTAGAAATGAATTTGATGCTGCCGTGTTGATGCCTTTGCTGTGCTGTATGTTATCTCTTTATCGCATATGAAAGTCACCCGTCCTTTGTTCCAGCCACCTTTTTGCTCATGGCTTCCTGTGAGTTCCTTCACAAAATTCTGAATTCCAGTTGATGTCTTTGCCTGTACTACCACCGTGTGGCTGAGCAAAGAAAAGCCACTAAGATCCAGTAAATAACACTGAATGCAGTGCACATTACACTGAACAGGAAAGGTTCAGATTCACTGTTTCTCTATTAAGAGAAGACCTATTTATTCCTAGGAAGATGCCTCTTTTCCATTTGAATGAGTGCAGATATCATAAAACAGTGCTTTCTTCCGTGGTTGTTCTACACTGTTGTGCATGGGTTTCAATCTCATACAGGGAAATTCAGGATGCATATGGTGCCCTCCCTCCCCCCCCCCCATCAAACATTTTGCAATAACGAAAGTGACAGGAAAATGCCTTGGAAAGTGTATGATAATTTTTGCTTGATGCCATATGGCCTGCACACAGAGAATGTAGCAGGCTATTAATATCTACATAAGTATTAGGATAATAATACCATATCAATTTATATACACAGCTGTTCCTTTTTCCTCATTTCTCCCCTTCCCCCTTTCTTTTTTAAAACAGTAGTAAGAATGGATTTCCAATAAACAAGTCATATGGAAGCAACCTGCATCTCAGCTTTTGTGTGATACTTCCTCCTCCCATATAGAGAGTTTAAATATGTTATGAAGATATTCTATAGCACATCAAACCACAAAATATTAATACAACAGTTTATAACCCACTCTGCAAGGAAAGAAACGACAATAACAGAATATAAGGAAACAGGTAAAACTGAATAAAAAAGAAATCGGAAGAGTTTCAAACTCCGAGTTGGCTAAGATTTATAAATCAGAATCAAATACATGTTGGAAGTGTAAATGGAGGGAATATTTTTTCACATGTGGTGGACATGTAAAAAGGTAAAAGTATATATGATTTATAATAAATTGGGGGGGGGGAATGTTTAAAACTACTTTCCGCTTTTTGTTGACTGAAATTCCTAGGTGTCGGAAAAGGTTATTTATGTATGCAACAATTGTGGTCCGTGGTACATGTAGTACATGTTGGAAGTGTAAAGAAACGGAGGGAAGTTTTTTTAACATGTGTTGGACATGTAAAAAGGTAAAAGTATAAGGGGAAATTATTTATAATGAATTGAAAAAAAATGTTTAAAACTACTCCCCCCCAAAAAACCCCCCCCCAAAAAACCACCAGAGTACTTTTTGTTGGGGAAAACCCAAACTAAAATTCCTAGGTGTCAGAAAAGGTTATTTATGTATGCAACAATTAGGGTATGTGCTTTATTAGCCCCAAAACGGAAAGTGAGCAAGGTCCCATCTAAAGAGGATTGGCAACTTAAGTTGACAGGATATGCAGAACATGCAGATTTAACACATAGAATAAGAGAGCAAGAAGAACATACATTAAAGAAGAGTGGAAAACATTTTCTGAATATAAGAAAAATGACTGCTAATGCTGGCAGCACTAAGATTAATACAATAGAGTAAATAAGTTTTGATGGAGGTAAAAGTGGAAAACTTATTTGAATGCTTATAGTAAAACAGGGTGTATGATATGAAACATGAATCATGGAAGGAGAAGGGAAGTCATGGGATATTTTAAATGTTTATTTGGAAATGTAAAATTGAAAATTTAATAAAACTTATTACCAAACTAGAGGGAGAAATATTTGAAATTAAATCATTCAAATGGTACTCTCACCTGAAACATATGTTGACTTTCACCTGCATGACTGGGGACACCTTCAGAATCATTGGAACTCCTTGGATTCACCTGAGTGTTAGGAGGCTCCACAGAGAAAACAGGAAACAGGGGCCTGAGAAACCGGAACTCGCTGTTCAGAGACCCACCAGCTAAGCACACCTCATAGTTGTAAGCCTGGGATAGAGATCCAGCACCAGAATCCGCAGAGTTCTCCTGGGAATCAGGTCCCACCGGGAAATTGGCTCCAGAGTTGTAGGTTCCTATGAACTTTTCACGTTTCTGCAACTTGATTACAACAAACGCCACTACAGAAATGAGAAAGATGCTTGAGATGGCAGCCAAGCAGATGATCAAATACATCGTCAGGCTGGGGTCTTCCTCCTCCACTGTTTCCTCCTTTGGGAGAGCCACACTTTTCAGATAAGGGTCAGAGAAGCCGTCCACTAGAAGGATTCTGAGCGTGGCAGAGGTGGACTGGGGAGGATGGCCGTTGTCTCGGACCACCACAATCAGATTCTGCTTGAAGCTGTCTCGGTTGCTGACCGGCCTCAGGGTGGTCACTTCTCCATTCTGGGCCCCCACCGTGAACAGACCCGGCTCTGTGGCCTTCAGCAGTTGGTAGGAAAGCCAAGAGTTCTGCGCAGAATCCCTGTCCACAGCCACCACCTTGGTGACCAGGTAGCCAGTCTCTGCCCCTCGGGGAACCAGGTCAGTCGAGGGGGGAAGTGCCATTCTGGAGAGGGTAGAGGATGAAGGGGGCATTGTCATTTTCATCCACGACCTGAACGCGGATGGGAACTTCTGAGCTCAGTGGAGGGGAACCTGAATCCACAGCCCTCACCGTCACCTGGAAATCTTGTACTTCCTCATAATCCAGAGACCGGATGGCATACAGGTTCCCCGTTTCAGAGTTGATGGAGATGTAAGAGGATGTGGGGCCATCATTGACCTTCCCAGGCAAAAGCGAGTAGGTCACTTTGGCATTCTGCGCTGTGTCCAGATCAACAGCATGGACAAAACCGATCAGAAGACCAGGAATATTGTTTTCTCTTAACTGCATTTCATAGAATGGCTTTTCAAACACTGGAGGGTTGTCATTGACATCTGACACTTCAACATGAAGTATTCTTGTGGAAGTGAGTCTGGGAGAGCCCCTGTCCGTGGCTGTGATAGTAATGTTATATTCACTGGCTTTTTCTCTGTCCAGCGGTTGTTGGGTCACCAGCTGGTAATAGTTGTTCTCGGTGGGTTTGAGCACAAATGGCAGGTTGACTTCAGTGGTGCAGGCAGTTCTGCCACTGTCTCCAGAGTCCACATCTGTGACACTGAAGAGGGCCACCACTGTGTCTGGGGAAGAGTCTTCAGGTAAGGGACTGGTGATGGAAGTGATGGTAATCTCTGGAGCATTGTCGTTCTCATCCTCAATCTCTACAATGACTTTACAGTGAGCAGAAAGTCCCCCTCCATCTGTAGCTCTGATTTTCATTACATAATTTGAGCTTTCTTCATAATCAATTGTCCCTGTAACAGTAAGTTCTCCAATGTGTTTATTTAACTTGAACAATCTCAACACATTTTCTGACACTTGGCTGAAATAGTAAGTGATGTGAGCATTGGAACCAAAATCCCTGTCAGTGGCTTCCACTTTTGTGACTAGTGTATCCAATGGGCTATTTTCCTTTAGTTTCACTTTGTACTCAAGTTGTGGAAACTGAGGCAAGTTATCATTGTTATCCAGAACATCAATGATTATTTGTGCTGTTCCAGTTCTTTTGGGGATCCCCCCATCAACTGCTGACAGAATAAGGGAAATCTGTGGATTCTCCTCACGGTCTAGCGGTTTCTCTAACACCAATTCCGCATGTTTGCTACCATCACTGTGACTTTGCACATCCAGCCTAAAATGTTCATTAGGACTAAGGGTGTAGTTCTGAACAGCATTTTTTCCTTTGTCTGAGTCTTCTGCTCTTTCCAAAGGAAATCTGATATCCACAGGAGTCTGCTCAGGTATTTCAAGAAGAAATTGATTTTTAGAGAATTTGGGGGAATTATCATTCACGTCCTCTACCTGAACTTCAATTCTGTGTAGCTGCAATGGCTTTTCCAGCACAATTTCAGACAGTAGAACACAAGGTTCATTCTGACCACACAGGGACTCCCGATCTATTTTATCCTTTACTGTCACATCCCCAGAATGAGGATCCAGCTGGAAATACTGCTTGGAGCTCTTAGAAACCAGCCGGGCTCTCCGAGCAGACAGCTCCTTTGCATCCATTCTCAAATCCTTCAGCACATTCGCTACCAGAGACCCACTTTTCTTTTCTTCTGGCACTGAGTAGAGGAAGGACTCACACATTGCTACGCATGCACAGAGATATAAGGAAATAAACATAACTTGCCTGAGGTTGAGAAGTATTTCCATTCCCCCAGCCTCACCTCCAGTCAGATCTGAAATGCAGGGTGATTCTTTCTAACACAACTGCCACAGTTGATTGTCCAGTGTATGTTTGCAAGACAAATCCTTTATCCTGTATTTAAAGCTAGAAATGGTTGTGGTCCCTTTTCCACCCACAATTTCTAAATATTTGCTTGTAATGGAGATTGTGTGGTGTCTTTCTCCTTGAGATTCCTTTGTCTCGCAGACACAGGCCTCCTGGAGAACAGTTTCTGGTCCTTGTCTATTTCTTTTGTGTTGTGTAATAGCACCACCTTGTGCTCTAAGTATGGTACATCTCCCATAAATGGTTCTGTAGGTTTGCAATGTTTAATATATTTCTTGTGTATTATCATTGACTTATCAAAATCCATTGAGGTACTCATTAATGATTGTCACTTTTCCTGCTGCTGAGTCTTGTGGCACCTTAAACACTAACAAGTTTTATTATGTCATGAGTCCTTGTGGACTAAAGTCTTCTTCATTAGATGCACGAAGTATAATCCTCAGCTGCAGGTATCTGTACAGTTGTCCAGAGAGGAGGTGCATTTTCATAATGTGATTCATACAGGTTGGGTCTCCAGCAAATATTTTTCCTTTCCCTGGCTGTCTTTTCCCTTCCTCCTCTGGCTCAGTCCTCCACACCCACTTCTATGTCTCCCATTTCTTTTCTTCAGTTTGCTGTGGAGCATGTCCTGCTACACCTCAGCTACCATATCCACTTTCTGGTTCACTTTTCACCTCCTCCTGCCTGGCAACTGTTGTCATTCTTGCATCGACAGGGAGCCTGCGTGGTGTAGTGGTTAAGAGCAGTGGACTTGTAATCTGGTGAACCGGGTTCGCTTCCCCGCTCCTCCACATGCAGCTGATGGGTGACCTTGGGCTAATCAAACTTCTCTGAAGTCTCTCAGCCTCACTCACCTCACAGAGTGTTTGTTGTGGGGGAGGAAGGGAAAAGGAGATTGTTAGCTGCTTTGAGACACCTTAAGGGGAGTGAAAGATGGGATATCAAGTCCAAACTCTTCTTCTTCCTCCTCCTCCTCCTCCTCCTCCTCCTCTTCTTCTTCTTCATCATCATCATCATCATCTTCTTCTTCTTCTTCTTCTCTTCCTTCTCTCTCTCACCTCTTGGTAGCTTCTTCTGGCTGCATCACCTCTCCTGGGTGCTCATTGGCTTCCCACCCCCTGTTTCCTAATATCATTGTGTCCCCCCCACCCCCGGCTCCTCAGGGTTCCACTTCTCACTTCCCAGACAGACACCTGTGCTGTAGCTTTTTGAAATATCCTGTGCAAGCTCTTGTATGGCCACAACTGAGGGCATGCAGTGTAGTCATGGACAGTTTTACTGGGGGAGAGTGGGGAAATTCCCCCTCCCCCATTTCTCTCTCTTTTTAAAAACCTTCTGCTTACTGCACAGATCTCCTGGGTGCACAGACTCCCCTCTTCTTTGTGGAAAGTGCTGCCTTGGCTACATTCTGATTGGCACTCTCACCTGAACTTCAGAAACAGGGGGAAATGCACAATGCTTTATGCTTGATGCTCCATAAGTAATTTAAAGATAACCAGCAAACCGTTGTGTCTTCTGTAGGTGGTAGGACGTTGCAGGAAGTGGGTAGAGTCGCTTCATGTTTTCCTACTACAAGGGTGGCCAAACTGCAGCTCAGGAATGACAAGTGGCCCTTTGGGCAGTTCAGTTGCAACTTTGAAGCCAACCAAGGAGTTCATGCATTCTGCAGCTCCCAGCTTCCTTTCGCAGATCCCGACACACTTTGCCAAACTGATACCCTCCAGATCTGTTGGACAACAACTCCTATCATCACTAGCCAGCCTGCTTGATTCTCAGGAGACAACTGTGGCCAGGAGCATTCTCCTCCCTATCTATTTTAGACACAAGCTGTTCCTGGGAAGCAATGTTTTAGCCACCATCAAAAATGACATCTACAGCTACTGGCTTGGCATACTAGCTACCTATTAAGAGCAGTTGCCACAAATACTTTCCCTTCTTCTGGGTTCTCTAGCATCTGCAGATGGCTCAGAGCAGAGGCAGGTGTGATGGACAGCAGAGCCAGACCAGAGTCTGGAGGTGCAGTACCTCAGAATTCCACCAGGGGGCTGGAGCCTCTCTCTGATTGGCTACCATGACAGCAAGCCAGAGGGGGTGGAGACTAAAAGGAGCCATTTCTGAGGGAGTGGTTAGATGGAGATGGAGATGGAGATGGAGATGGAGATGGAGATGGAGATGGAGAGTTGGTTTCAGAGAAAGCTACAGGTAGTGTTAGAGAGTTGGTTCTGATCCGCGTGTGTAACATCCACTCAAAGGGAAATATCTACAGCTAGAGAAAGGAATCTCTAAGCTTAGGTTGGAAGACAGTGTTTAGTGTCTTGGGAAAGTATTCAGACAGGAGTTAACAAGAGGGCTGTGTTTGAGCCAGGAGAAGTATCCAGGAGGAGGATGCAGACTACTTGTGTCACTCAGGAAGAGAGAGATCTTCTAGATAGAGAAGAAGCCCAAGCCAGTTAAGAGGGGTGTGGTGATCCCCTGCGTCTGTTATACTGCTAGAATTATTTCAGGAGTGTGATTGATAAAAGGTTGGAAGACTGACAGAAAGTACTACCTTGTTTAAGAACCAAAGTATTAAGCTGTAACACCCATGCAACTACTTAGTTAAGAAACTGAAGTGAAATAACTCAAAATAATGCTAACCTCCATTAGATTGAGTATTATTATCAACAGGTTAAATGTTTACTGAAAGAAGATTATCTGCTGATACATTCTTTTTTTATTCACTTTGTTCTGTTAAATAAATATTTCACATTTGTTCAACTTCTGCCTGTGTCTCCAAGTATCTAATTTCCCCCTCTCACTAAAACCAAAAAGATAACCTGTGGTGGTTGAAAATATATACATTATAGAGTGGGTATGTAAGTGGGATCCGCCACAATTATTATACAGTGGTGGGATCCGTTACATAATTAGTATACAGCAGTGGGATCTGCTACATTTTGGTGGCACTGGTGGGATCTGCTATAGCAGGCTTTCCTTTGAGCTGTAGTTGAAAAACAAAGGACATTGCAGGTGTCCTTTCCAACCAAATCTAAAAAGCTTCTGCTTCTGATCTTCTTTAAAATCTGTTGTGAAAGTGGACTACTGGGTCCTCCAGAGATTTTTAAATTGTTCTAAAATATCTTTATACTCCTTATCAGAGTGCTGACTGAGCTATAAAATTATTTTACATGCCAAGTCAAAATCCTAATTTCCTAATTTAAAGTGAAACTCTGTCACACTTTAATTGACAATGACAGGATTCCTAAATTCTTTTGTAACCTTCTCACAATCACTAAACACCCACCAGCCGCTCACATTTCAGAAGCAAGTCCTGGCATCTCCATCCCCGAACATCAAAATAAGTTTTAGATATTTGTAGAGACACATATCCTGAGCAAACAAAGTAATCTTAAAAAATAAATAAATCTTGATTTGTTGTTTTTTCACTGATCACTGGCGTAATAATTGCAGAAAAACAAATATACACAATATGAAAAGGGTTTTTTGTTTATTTGAAAATATTTTTTTTTTAAAATATTCATTTGTTTTTTACTTGATGTTGTGCTTTTGCAGAAAGGTAAAAGAGATACAAGAACATCTTTCATATTTTCTTCTTATTTTTTGACTGTAGAATAATAACAATGTGGAAATGTGATCATCCCTGCCCTTTAGGAGCTCGTTTTTCTCTCCATTCATTTCATAGAATTGGTATTAACCATTAAACTCCTAGGTTATCAGAAGGAAGGCTTCCACCACCTGCCTCATCAGGTGCCTGTCTTGCTCTCTTCATTCAGGGGGGACAATTGCACGTGACACAGTCTCAGCCATTCCCTGTGGTGAGTCTCTCACTGTTAAGTTGTGGGTGAACATATGAGACAACACAGCGATTCTTCAAACAGCTCTTGTTTATTCACAGTCCAGAACAGAACTGAACTGAAATGTTCAGCCAGCCTGCTTATATAGAGCTCCACTAGAACGCAACAGTAACCATTTTCTGTAACTATCCAATCACTGAACGTCACTTTCGATCCCTTATTTGCATATGTGGACTTGAACTATCTACAGTATCCCCCTGCTGGCCCAGGGTGAGAACTTCAGTACATAACACTCACCACCTGTGAAACTCCATTATTTAGTCTGTTCTCACCAGACAATATGCAGAGAAGTTTTTTTAAAAAAATTAAATCTAGATTATCACTCTCCACACATTTTCACCATTAATCGGGCAGGGGGGGAGGCGGATATTCAGCAATGATGGAGTGCTTCTTACATTTTCAAGGTGAATAAGAGTTTGTCTGTCTGTCTGTCTGACTTTCTTTCACAAAAACAAAGAGGGCTCACTGCTGCTTCAAACTGGAGCTTGGCTTCTTTCCTGGGACAGAATCTACCTCGGAATCACACTACATAACAACGTAGCATCATTCCCAGCGTGGGGGTAATATGGTGGTCAGCTATGCATTCCCTCAAGAACACCCCTGGGAATTACTTATCATTATTTTTACTCGTTTGTTTATTGATTAAAAATGGCACTGCTTAATATAAAAAGACACCTCTAAGCAGTCTACATAAGAGGCAATCAGGAAAAAATAAATATGACTGCATACGAGAAAGCAACAGCCAAATAAAACTGCTGGAAAGCTAAATAAAAACACCATAAAACGTGGCTCCTTACCTACAGCTGCAATTATTATTTCAAAAATAACAATAAATGGAAAAAATAAAGCAAAATAAGAGGCCTCCCAAAAAGCCCACTTCTCAAATAAGACTGGGAAAGTACAAGTTTGTGCAGATTCCTACTGATGATTTGAAAAAATCCCGAGTCAAAGATATTTCCCCATCTATCCTTTGAAAGATGTCAGAAGGTGGAGCCAGCAGAGCTACACAGCAGGACACATCTAGGTACCCCATATGATTAGGAACCCTGCACTAGCAAAATCTGAAGTCACGTGGAGCACCTAAGCACACACACCATTCCACGTGGAGGTGCCCATTTCCAGACCTTCAGCACTGTGGCTGGAGGAGAAGCAGATGGACCAGAAGCACACAGTGATGTCAGTGTCACAACCAGCAGCATGATCCCATTCCATCCTCCAAATGTAGAGTGAACCCAGAGGAATGGTCTGCAGTGGGTTGGAGTGATTATTGAATAAATAAGCTTTCATTTGCTTTTGCCTGCTTATCAGATGGATGTGCCACGTCTGCTGATGTTTTAGAGAGAGACTTCCAAGTTTACGTAGCTCTGAACTCATGTAGATATGCATTTCATCATCATACCTCTTATAACGTCTGTGGCAGCAGACATTTCCATATTTTCCAAGGAAGGACCAGAGACCACCAAGATGGGAGTGGGTGAGCAGGTGAGATTATTCAATCATATTTGACTCTTCATATTAGGGATCAAGCACAGCCTAGAATTTTCATTTAGATTTTGCTGTCTTGTGCAGCTGTACTGCCCAAGTACTCGTCCGCATTCCTGATCATCTTTGTTTCAGAGTACTTTACTTGGAGAGCAAGGATTGTGCAATTTTCTTGCGGGGACTGGAGGGATGTCAGCCTATTTTACGGAAGTGATTCTTTGGAGACAGCAATACTTTATCTAATTCTTTCACATCTTTAGAGGGTTCAGTGCAGGCAGTGCTGCAGTTACCTGGGAAACAAAGGAAAGACTGGTAGAAACCCGGCAGAAGTTCTAGGGGAAGGGCTGTTAGGATATTTCCGTTCCACCTTAAAAGGGAGCAGGCTTTGTGAGTCAGAGTCTGCGTATTTCCTGTTCACAGGATGTTTATGTTTTCTGTTGCTTTCGTTTTCTCTCTGGTGTCGCAGACACTAAAGCAGTCAGTCATGTTTTTCTGTGTTCTGATCAACGCTGAATAAACTTGTAAATAATGCTCTCCTGACTGCAACTTTTGGCTGTGCATTTATCTGCTGATAGAGCGTGCATGAGCTCTAGAATGTGGCAAGATATTTTCTAGAAACTCATGTCGCTGCGTGCCTACGGGAGACTGAGATGGATCGTCCGGCAGACGGCTTGGGGGCCTTGATGGACTTTATCTCCCTGGCAGTATCCCAACAACAGGTTTCGGGCCCAGATTCACAGCACTTACAGGAGAGTAAGACTGCGACAGACTGCTGAAAGGTATGTGGAGGAAAAGCGAAAGTGAGGCTTTTCTGTTTGCCGCGGCAAGGGCCTTTGATGTCCGGCAGGCCTAATTGGATCTGGGAGCCGCGCCAAAAGGCTTCGTGATTAATGGGAGCTGAGATAAGACGTCTCTGAAGTGAATAAGATTCACGGCTCAAGTAAAAGACTGAGATGGATCTTTTACAATCCTCAGAAGCTGCTCCGTCTCCACCAAAGCTAAATGGCCACAACTATCAGACCTGGGCAAGGTACTGTGAGGGCCAGATGAGAAAGCTTGGAGTGTGGAATACCGTTTCTGAGGACCCCCCAGCCCCTGTGACAGATGAATGGACGGCACAGGACTCAAGAGCCATGGGGATAATTTTGCTCTCAGTAGCTCCTGAAGAGTTAATCACCCTGGCTGGCAAGGCCAGTGCCCGTGAGATGTGGGACGGGCTTAGAGCCTGTCATCTCCGACAAGAGGCTGGGTCTGTGTTGCTTTATTTCAGAAAGCTGCACAGGAAGCGTTTGGAGCCAGGGGAAGACCTTAGAGCCCACGTTTTACATTTGCAGCATCTCAGACAGGAATTGACTCAGAGAGGTTTCAATATGCCTGAGTCACTGTTTGCAATTCTCATCCTGGACTCCCTGGATGAAAGCTACCATGCCGTGGCAAGTCAGCTGGCGACCCTCCCTGCGCAAGACCTCACTGCTACAAAGGTCTTGGCGACTTTGCAAAATGAATACGATAGAAGGAATGCAGCTGAGTCGGCTTGTGCGCTCCAGGGGGAGCAATGTGGGACAGCATTCCAGCCTCCAGGGGAGCCAAAGCGTTGGCAGCTGTGAAGTGCTGGAACTGTGGGACCCAAGGTCACACTCAGAAGTTTTGTCCAAAGACTGGAAATAAACAAAGGAAGAAGCCAGCAGATGGCAAGAAGCAGAGGGGGGGTGGAAAGCCCAAGCCAGGGAAAACAATGCTTTGTTTGCTGGCACAGCTTCACCAAAGGCTAAAGGCAAGTCTGATGGCCAGGAGCAGGGGGGCAAGCTGCAAAAGCCCACGCCGGTGGAAAACAAGGTTTTGCTTGCTGCAAAGGCTGCTCCAAAAGCCAAGGCCAGGTTTGTTGTTGATTCAGGCTGTACCCGCCATATCTCAAAGGACCGCCACCTATTTATCTCCTTCAAGCCTCAAGAAGGTGAGATCCACCTGGCTGATGGAAAGACGTTGCGAATCGCAGGAGAAGGGACTGTGAAACTGGCAAGTCTGCACACTACCATCAAAGATGTACTGTATGTTCCAGGCGCTGCAGACAATTTGCTCAGTGTCCCACAGCTGACTGGGCGTGGTTTTGAGATTTCCTTCAAGAGGAGCGTCTGTGTCATCAGAAAAGGCAAAGAGGACATTTTGCATGCAAAGTTTATGGATGGCTTGTTCTGTATAACTTATGATGACATTGGTGCTGTTGTGTCTAATGTTGATTCTTGTTGTGTTGCACAAACTAACAAAGTTCTTCATGCAGGATGCATTCATGATGCACACAGAAGATTTTGTCACATGTCTTGGCAGGCGCTGGCCAAGATGCCAGAGATGGTTGAGGGTTTGAACATCAAACCCTGTAAGTTTCACATGAAATGTGTATCTTGTGCAGAGAACAAGGTGAAGGTTGCTCCAAAAGGCAAGGAGTCTAGCAGGCAGGCTTCCAAACCCTACCAGCTAGTGCACGCAGACCTGGTTGGTCCACTTGCGCCCTCTTTGGGTGGAGCAAGGTACTTCATGGTTCTAATTGATTCTTTTTCCAGGTACATTCATGTGTTTATGCTCGAGCAGAAATCGCAAGCGTTTCCTAAGTTCAAGGCATTCTGTGCTTGGTTGGAGAATGTTCACGGTAAACGTATTGGCTGTCTGTTTACTGATCGAGGCGGGGAGTTCACTTCTCAGCAGTTTGAAGCTTTCCTGACTGAGAAGGGAATCCAGCATGACTTGTCAACGCCTAGATCGCCATGGATGAATGGGCTTGCGGAGCAAGCAAATCAAACGTTGCTGCAAGGAATGAAAACATTGTTGCATGATGCCAATCTCCCTGATAAGTATTGGGGGGAGGCTCTGTCGAATTTTGCTTACACTTATAATCGCAGATTGTCATCACCTATTGGTTGTACTCCCTATGAGAAGATGTTTGGTAAGAAACCCAACATCAAGCACATGAGAATCTTTGGTTCTGACATGTGGGTACACACCCCACAGAGCAACAAGCTTGGGAAGCGTGGGGCACATGGTTTGTTCATGGGGTACGAAAAGGTGCATACAGGGTATGGATGACCAACTCTAAGTCCATTAAGTTCACAAAGAGTGTTGAGTACAATCCTAAGTGGGGAAAATGTGGGAATTTTCCAGAGTTACCCAGAGGAGGATGAAGGTGATGTCAAAGAAGCAGCTAAAGCTGAGGAAGCTGCTGAGGATGATGATGACGATGATGATCAGAGTTCGGATTCCAGTTCAGTGGGCGGCGCTGCTGCTGGTGTCAGTGACAGTGATGACACAGCAGACTACAAGAGCGCAAAGGCCTCAGTCAGACCATCTGATGCGTCTGACAATGAACTGGAAGAACCACTGTTCACCATTGGTCACTTTTCTCCTAAGAAGGAGGAGATGAGTCCAGAAGACTTGCGTCTAGTACGCAGATCTGAAAGAGCCACGAAGGGCAGACCTCCAAAGAGATTTGCTGATGAGTTTGCTAAGACAGCAACTGCTGTTCTTAGTAGCTCAGAGAAGGTGTGGGAACCTTCAAGCTTCAAAGAGGTTCAGGAGTTAACCTCTAAAGATGCTGAGCCTTGGCTTAATGCCATGAAGGCTGAAGTTGATTCCTTGAACAGGAACCAAACTTGGGAACTGGTACCGGTAGTCCCAGGAATGAGACTGGTTGGCAGCAAATGGGTCTTCAAGGCCAAGACAGACCAGAATGGCAAGGTTGTCAGACACAAAGCCAGATTGGTTGCCAGAGGTTTTTCACAGGTACCAGGACAGGATTACCACGAGACCTACTCACCCACCGTCAAATATGAGAGCATTCGGCTGATGCTCAAGATAGCTGCAGAGGAGAAACTGCATGTTTCCCATCATGACATTAATACAGCTTTTTTGTACAGGATTTTGGAAGAGGAGCTGTTTATGCTTCCACCTGACGGGATGCAGATACAGAAGGGAATGGTCTGTAAACTGCGGAAATCCTTGTATGGTCTCAAGCAGAGTGCCAGGTGTTGGAACACAAAGCTCACTGAGACATTGCTTTCTCTAGGTTTTCACCAGGGCAAAGCTGATCCATGTGTGTTTGTCAAGGAGGAGGGGCAAAACAAACTGTATTGTTTATGTTTTGTTGATGATCTTCTGATGTTTTGGAAGAATCAGGCTTTGTACCAAAGCACCCTAGCTCAGCTGAAGGAGCACTTTGACATGAAGGATCTTGGTGAGGTATCCAACTATCTTTCTCTGCAGGTGGAGAGGGACCAAGCAGGTAATTTTCTGGTACACCAAACACAGAAAATTGCTGATGTATTAACCAGGTTGAATTTGGTTGATGCAAACCCAGCAGACACACCGATGGTGACAGGTTACCAGGTAGACAGTACTGCTGAAGCGTTTTCTGACACAACGCTGTACAGATGCATTCTAGGCAAGTTGAATTTCATTGCTAGATGCTCAAGACCTGACATAGCTGTAAGCACTAACCTGCTTAGCAGACATGCTAACAATCCTACTGTTCAGGATTGGAAAGCTCTGAAGCGCATAGCCCGCTATTTGAAAGGGACTATGCACTACAGGCTGAGGTTCACCAGTCAGAAGACTGGAGGTCTTGAAATCTTTGCAGATGCAAGTTTTGGAAGTGACACCACGGATGGTACAAGCACTTCTGGAGTATGCTACATGTACAACCACTGCCTGTTTGACTGGTTGTGCAAAAAGCAGACGACAGTGAGCCTAAGTTCCTGTGAAGCAGAACTCAATGCTCTGTCATTTTCACTCATGGATTGTGAATGGTTGATGCAACTGTTTAAGGACATCAGAGTTTCTGTGAAATGTCCTGTACAAGTGTATCAAGACAATAGATCGTGTTTGGCTTTGCTGAACTCGGAGAGTTGCAAGCAAAGGACCAAGTACTTGCAGATTAAGCTACATCGTGCAAGAGAGTGTATTCAGAAAGGACTCATTCAGGTGTCCTACATGCCAGGAAATGAAATTCCTGCTGATCTGTTGTCTAAGGTTGTTAACAGAGAACAACTTAAGGTTTACGTACAAAGGTTGCAATTGGGTTGAACCACAGGTACTACAGGTTACACGGAAAGGGGAGGATGTTAGGATATTTCCGTTCCACCTTAAAAGGGAGCAGGCTTTGTGAGTCAGAGTCTGCGTATTTCCTGTTCACAGGATGTTTATGTTTTCTGTTGCTTTCGTTTTCTCTCTGGTGTCGCAGACACTAAAGCAGTCAGTCATGTTTTTCTGTGTTCTGATCAACGCTGAATAAACTTGTAAATAATGCTCTCCTGACTGCAACTTTTGGCTGTGCATTTATCTGCTGATAGAGCGTGCATGAGCTCTAGAATGTGGCAAGATATTTTCTAGAAACTCATGTCGCTGCGTGCCTACGGGAGACTGAGATGGATCGTCCGGCAGACGGCTTGGGGGCCTTGATGGACTTTATCTCCCTGGCAGTATCCCAACAGTTCAGTGGTAGAACACCTGCTTTGTAGGCAGAAGCTCCTTGGTTCAATCTACACTGGCATCTCCAGGCAGGGTGAGGAGAAACCCCTGCCTTGAAAACTGGCTGTCAGTCAGTGTAGGCTGTATCAATACTGAGCTGTATGGACCAATGATTTGATTCAATATAAGGCAGTTACCTATGTTCCTATGTTTCCTTGTGGCTTACAGTCGCTTGGGTCAGAGTCCTCTTGCTCAAATGAAACCAAATAGGTGCTCACACATATTAGTGACAGGAAAGATTCATAAGATTCAAAGAATATACAACTGAAAGCTTAGAATGGTTCCACTACATATGCATCAAGTATGACAGCTGCAATAAAAGTGTGAATTATATATCTCCTTTAATGTAACAGCATGTCTAAACATTGTGTATAGGTATCTGGGAACTCTGATCTAATCAGGTTTCATACATGCATTTATATACACTAACAGTTATGTGCAAAAAGGCTCACATAAAAGCTCAACGATACATGTGAAAGAATTGTCTTGAATAAGTGATGGGTGGAAGAAAGAGGAGGTAGGGAATAGAAAAGTTGAACCAGCTAGAAAGATGGCAGGTGCTGAGTGAATTTTTTTTCTTCACAAATCTCCAAATCCAATTTTCAATCAAGCCACTATGAATCATTTCAACACAGAATAATATGGAGATAAATGAGAAATGATTTCATTTTTTCTATTTGTATTAAAAACACTAATCTCTCTCACCTGTTCCACTGGCTTCCTGCTCTCCAAAGCATCAGGAATATCTTGGGAAGCAGACGGAGGGGTCTGGTTCACATTGAGGTTTGGGTCCCCCACAGAAAATACAGGAATGAGGGGCCTGAGGAACCTGAACTCGCTGCTCAAGGACCCACCGGTTAAGCAAACATCGTAGTGGTAACTCCTGGAAAGAGACCCGCTCTGAGAATCGCCACAGTTCTCTGGGATGTCGGGTCTGGCAGGTGGGAAGTGAGGAGGGGCAGCGATAAAACTTTCCCTGGGATCCCTCCTGCAGATCTTGATGGCAGCAAAGGAAACAATGCAAACGAGGAACACAAAGGAGACTGCAGCCAGGCAGATCACCAAATACAAGGTCAAGGTCCCATCTTCTTCGTGCTCCTCTTTACTGACCTCCACAGCCTTCATATAAGGATCCGAAAAGCCACCCACGGGAAGGACATGGAGCATGGCAGTGCTGCTCTGGGAGGGAGCCCGTTGTCCCTGACCACTATCAGGAGTCTCTGCTTGCTGGTGTCTCGCTCGCTCAGGGCTCTCCTGGTTCTCACTTCCCCGTTCTGGGCTCCTATGCTGAAAAGACCAGGGTCTGTGGCCTTCAGCAGCTCATAGGAAAGCCACGAGTTCTGGCCAGAATCTCCATCCACAGCCACCACCTTGGTGACCAGGTAGCCGGCCTCCACCGACTTGGGAACCAGCTCATTGCGGGGGATGTGCTGTTCTGAAGAGGGTAGAGGAAGAAGGGAGCGTTGTCGTTTTCGTCTAGGATTACGACTCGGACAGTAACTTCTGAGCTGAGGGGAGGAGACCCTCCATCTGTAGCCCTCACCGTCACTTTGAAATCTTTGATCTGCTCATAATCCAGAGATCGGAGGGCATACAGATTTCCGCTTTCAGAGTTGACTGAGATGTAAGAGGCCACAAGGCCATCAGTGACCTTCCCAGGCAAAAGGGAGTAGGTGACCTTGGCATTCTTCTCAGTGTCCAGATCAGCAGCATGGACTGAGCCAATGAGCAGCCCTGGAATATTGTTTTCCCGTATCTGCATTTCACATGAAGACTTTTCAAATACTGGAGGGTTGTCGTTGACATCTGAGATCTGAACGTTAATAATTCTTGTTGAAGTGAGCCTGGGGGAGCCTTGGTCAACGGCTGTGATGGTGATATTATATTCCGGGACCTTCTCTCTGTCCAGGGAGCTTTGGACCACAAGCTGGTAATAGTTATTCATAGTGGATTTTAACATAAAAGGAAGATTTACCTCCACAGAACACATGGTTCTGCCATTGTCTCCAGAGTCTCGGTCTGTGACAGTGAAGAGAGCCACAAGTTTCTCCAGGGGAGAATCCTCTGCCAGAGGACTAGTGATGGATATGATGGACACTTCAGGGACATTGTCATTCACATCCTCAATCTCTACCAGAACCTTGCAGTGCCCTGATAGGCCCCCTCCATCTGTTGCTCTAATTTTCATGTCATACCTGGTTTCTTTTTCAAAATCAACTTGACCTAAAACAGTGATTTCCCCAGTGATTTCATTTAGCTGGAACAAATTGTGTATTTTTTTAGGCATCCGGTGGAATGAGTAGATGATCTGTGCATTTGAACCAAAATCCAAATCTGTAGCTTCCACTTTGGAGACCAGAGTGCCCTGTGGGCTGTTTTCCTTTAACCTTACTTTATATTCTGAATGAGTAAACTGTGGGGAATTGTCATTGATGTCAAGAACATCAATATTTATTTGAACTGTCCCTGTTCTCTGTGGTTCCCCTCCATCCACAGCTGTGAGAGTCAGTCCAAAGTGTGAGTCCTTCTCCCTGTCCAGTGGCTTCTCCAGGACAAGATCCACATGCTTGTTTCCATCCTCATCACTTTTAACATCGAGGCGGAAATGTTCATTGGGACTGATAGTGTAGTTTTGGATGCTATTTCTCCCTAGGTCCTCATCTTGGGCAGATTCCAATGGGAAATGTGTATTTGGAGAGACATTTTCAGGAATTTCCAGATCAAATTCCTTTGTAGAGAATTTGGGAACATTGTCATTCACATCTTCTATCTTGACTACAATACTGTAGAGCTCTAATGGGTTTTCCAGCACAATTTGTGAGAGAAGCAAGCAAGGATCAGTCTGGCCACATAAAGCTTCTCGGTCTATTTTTTCACTTATCAACAGATCCCCAGAGTGAGTATCAAGGTGGAAATATTGCTTAGCGCTTTTGGACACCAGCTGGGCTCTGCGAGCAGAGAGCTCCCCTGTTCCCAATTTCAAATCCTGCAGCACATTAGCCACCAAAGACCCAGTTTTCTTTTCTTCAGGCACAGAATAATGGCTTGAAACATACAATGCTCCAGGAAAACAAAGGAAAAGAAAAAGATACAGACCTTGTTTTCTCCTGAAGCAGTCTCCCATGGTTCAAGGTTTGCCTCTTCAATTTCTGGCCAGTATATACACTTTCTGACTCTCATCCAGTGACCATCTCTGCTGTTGGGGAAGTAAATTTGGTGCTGCAGTGCTGATGGCTTTGCTGTACTGAATATTATATATTTTCTCACAGACCGTCTTCTTAGCTGTCTTCTTGTTTCAAATATCCCTGTGATCTTCCGGAGGGATTTTTCACAAAACAAAATCCTGAGTTCCAATCAATGCATATGCCTCTGCTGCCACCATGTGGCTGAATAATAAAAAAAGGCAGCTATACAGCAGTTCAAAAGTGCAGGTTAGATGTAATTCCAAGGGTGATGTTAGGAACCCCATTCTAACGGCATGTGTATACCCGCCAACATTTCTCCAATGAAAGTAGGGTCATCCTAATGAAAAGTGGGGCATTCTGGGATCAAATCAGAAACCGGGATAGCTTCTCTAAATCAGGGCTGTAAACTTGCAGGGTCTGCATGTGGGGTAACATAGAGGTGTTTTCTAGCCCCTTTGTTTTTAAATATTTATTTGAATGATCTCTTTCCTGAACTATATGCTCAAGTGTACCACTTGCCTATATTGACTGGTACAGAGATGTCATTGGTTCTATATACAGATCATGTGCCTGTGGAGATGGCAGTAACAAATCAGTGGTGCCCTTCTGGCTTGCACTCTTTATGAAGACTTGAGAGATGAGGTTATCACCCCTCTTTTATTGTCCATTCCGGATCACCCAGCCACTGCCACAGTGTGTTTTCTCTTGGCAGATCAAGATGAGCAGGTGACAGCAAAGGTTGCAAGGTTTTTAGCTGGGGCAATTGGAATAAGATCCACTATTTGACTACTGATTCAAAACCCTAAAATGTATTTTATATAACTGACTTTTATTTCTATTCTATGTATATGGTATTGTTGTTTTGTTGTGATGGCCAATGGCTGATGCAAATAAAGATTCGTTCATTAATATACAGATCATGCTGTATTACCCTTCACAACTTTAGGTTAATCTGAAAAGATTGAAGTCTAAATTCCCAAGCTACTGCAAGACAGAACAGTTGGCAGTCAACTATGATAAAACAAAAAGTGATTATTTTTCCAAAGAAAAATATAAATGAGCCGTCAGTGAGCACGTAATAGTGCAAGTCAATAATTTTAAATACTGGAATTCCTTTTTGGTCCATTGTGTCCCAGTCGCATCAGATACAAAACACTGTATTGTCTGCACTGAATAGTCTTGCTGCACTACTGAGGTTATACTATACAAAAGGCAGTCGTCATACAGCTTCAGTTTTGAAGGTGTACAAAGCCAAAGTGTTTACCAAGATTATGTATGGAGTTCAAGATTAAATGCTGGGGATTAATGAATCCTTAGACAACACAAACCACTTCTTTGAGAAACCAAGAAATACTTTTCTGTGTTCCAAGATCTGTCTCCAATGTAGTCTTACAACCGAAGCAGGTATTTGTTCTTGGAAAACAATAGCAATCGGTTCCTAGCATTGCTTATATTTATCTTGACCTCAGCAGGTTTGGGCTACCTATCCCTGGCTTTGTTGATAAATATTTCTGTTTTTGGCTAACAACAACAACAATGGTGTTAACATTGCTGCCTATTCACTACCCCATCTGCTGCCACTTGGGTTAACACAGACTTCAAGATCTTAACTTGCAAAATTCATTAGCCCTGACAAAAGGAGTTTGCATACCACTTTACCTTAGTCTGCAACCTAGTAGTAATTATCAACTTGCTTGGTATTTAAATATTAAATACCCCTAGATACAAAAGGTGATTTCCAATGGCTAGGTTGGGTGCTTTGGCATCAACAGTTATATCTCTGACTTTGTAGAAGTCAGCTTACAAGGCTGCTTTGGCACTTGAGAGTTTGCCCTTGCAAAAATGGTTCAGTCGAAACATCTGCTCATGTTCTCCTATACTGCATTTTATAGGGATATGAGATCCCAGTTTATCTCACCAACACTTTCTCTACATTTGGGAAATGCAGAGGAATTCTGTATTTCAGTTTTAATGGTAAACTCCAACCCTAAGAAGAGAGGAAAATATAGCCAAGTTCCTTGTTGTAGCAATAAAAACTAGGCCACAATTATTAAAAGGAAGATGCGTTCTTCTGAGTCAAATTGGTCTATATTTATTAGCTATTTCTGTTCATGGATTTTGTTATTCCCTTATTTTAAAATGTACTGATTGTTTGCCTTTCTTACTGCTGTGGTTGTTTTTCATCCTATGGTTGTCTTGCAAATGAAGAGTTTATGAAGCCCTTCTACCCTTACTTCTGATTTTGGAATGAGAGCTGCCGTCCTCAAAGCCACAAATACAAAGAAAAGGAGTGTCCAAAAGGCACTTTTCATTTTACACTCTATTTTATATTCATGGTCTGCAGACTGAAACTCGAATAAGCCTCCCCACCAATTCTGTATTCTTCGAATGGATACTCATTGAATGATATATGTTAAGTTGTGGGTGAACTTATCAGACAACACAGCGATTCTTCAAACAGCTCTTGTTTATTCACAGGCCAGGACAGAACTGAGCTGAAGGGTTCAGTCAGCCTGCTTATATAGAGCTCCAGTACAGTGTAACTGTAACAATTTTCTAAAACTATCCAATCACTGAATGTCATTTTTGATCCCTTATTTGCATAACTATCTACAGTATCCCCCTGCTGGCCCAGGGTGAGAACTTCAGTACATAGCAATATACCTAACAGAAAAGGCTTTGCTTTACTGGTACTCTGTTCATAGCAGATTATTTTGCTACAAGGAAAGTACCCAGGAAATGTTGGGGGAAATTATGATAATATGCCCATAAAGATGAAGGCTTGCTTCTTGTTGAAAACCTCTCATTGCTTACATGTATTTCAGTCTCTTTCTTTTTAGTCCTGTTAAGCATAAGGGAGGGGGAGAAATTCAGTTCACCACCTAACCCACACTTCCAAAAACTATTTGAGACTTGAAACGCAACTGTCCTTCGAAATCCATACTTCTCCAAATTTTGCAGTGCAATTTTCCAAGCAAAAAATGTGTGCAGGAATGTGTATATCAGAGAAAGTGTGAATAGAAATGCATAAACATTGCATTATATTAAGGGAAATTGTAAACAAAAATGTGTATATTAGAATAAATGCACTTTAAAATGCTGACATTTTGTGAGCCATCCGTAAGCATGGTGATCTTTTAATCTTAGAATGCACTATGCAGATATATTTTCTAAAGAAGAACTGTAACAATATGCAGTTTTTCAAAAGAAATAAATCATGGAGGTTCTCCCTCAGTTGCAATATTGTATATTTTCTCCAAAAAGGCTATTATATCCCTCTCAGTTTTTCGGCAATACGTCATCGACTGGCCACTTCTATTGAGAAGAGAAAGGGAATAGGATTTAGTGATATAGAAACTCATGTAGTAAGGTATCACATAATCACATAATGTGAATGATGTGAAAGATCAATACGATATTTTTATGGAAAAAACAACATAGTACTCAAACAGAAGAAAATAAGAAACTATTATTTCTGATGTTTTGAGAGGAATACTTGAGGTTATGTTTCATTTATTCTGGAAGAAACAAAGGATAATATTCATCAAGAAAGTAGCAGATACAGTTTGAAATGAAACCATACAAAAGGGATTCAAATGGTACTCTCACCTGGAGGATATGTTGACTTTCACCTGCATGACTGTGGACTCCTTCAGAATCATTGGAACTCCTTGGATTCACCTGAGTGTTAGGAGGCTCCACAGAGAAAACAGGAAACAGGGGCCTGAGAAACCGGAACTCACTGTTCAGAGACCCACCAGCTAAGCACACCTCATAGTTGTAAGCCTGGGATAGAGATCCAGCACCAGAATCCACAGAGTTCTCCTGGGAATCAGGTCCCACCGGGAAATTGGCTCCAGAGTTGTAGGTTCCTATGAACTTTTCACGTTTCTGCAACTTGATTACAACAAACGCCACTACAGAAATGAGAAAGATGCTTGAGATGGCAGCCAAGCAGATGATCAAATACATCGTCAGGCTGGGGTCTTCCTCCTCCACTGTTTCCTCCTTTGGGAGAGCCACACTTTTCAGATAAGGGTCAGAGAAGCCGTCCACTAGAAGGATTCTGAGCGTGGCAGAGGTGGACTGGGGAGGATGGCCGTTGTCTCGGACCACCACAATCAGATTCTGCTTGAAGCTGTCTCGGTTGCTGACCGGCCTCAGGGTGGTCACCTCTCCATTCTGGGTCCCCACCGTGAACAGACCCGGCTCTGTGGCCTTCAGCAGTTGGTAGGAAAGCCAAGAGTTCTGCGCAGAATCCCTGTCCACAGCCACCACCTTGGTGACCAGGTAGCCAGTCTCTGCCCCTCGGGGAACCAGGTCATGTGAGGGGGAAGTGCCATTCTGGAGAGGGTAGAGGATGAAGGGGGCATTGTCATTTTCATCCACGACCTGAACGCGGATGGGAACCTCTGAGCTCAGTGGAGGGGAACCTGAATCCACAGCCCTCACCGTCACCTGGAAATCTTTTACTTCCTCATAATCCAGAGACCGGATGGCATACAGGTTCCCCGTTTCAGAGTTGATGGAGATGTAAGAGGATGTGGGGCCATCATTGACCTTCCCAGGCAAAAGCGAGTAGGTCACTTTGGCATTCTGCGCTATGTCCAGATCAACAGCATGGACCGAATTGATCAGAAGACCTGGAATATTGTTTTCTCTTAACTGCATTTGATAGAATGGCTTTTCAAACACTGGAGGGTTGTCATTGACATCTGACACTTCAACATGAAGTATTCTTGTGGAAGTGAGTCTGGGAGAGCCCCTGTCTGTGGCTGTGATGGTGATGTTATACTCAGAGGCTTGTTCTCTGTCCAGTGGCTGTTGGGTCACCAGCCGGTAATAGTTGTTCTCGGTGGGTTTGAGCACAAATGGCAGGTTGACTTCAGTGGTGCAGGCAATTCTGCCACTGTCTCCAGAGTCCACATCTGTGACACTGAAGAGGGCCACCACTGTGTCTGGGGGAGAGTCCTCAGGTAAGGGACTGGTGATGGATGTGATGGTAATCTCTGGAGCATTGTCATTCGCATCCTCAATCTCTACAATGACTTTGCAGTAAGCAGAAAGTCCCCCTCCATCTGTGGCTTTGATGTGCATCTCATACTTACTAATTTCCTCATAATCAAGTGTTCCTTTGAGAATAAGTTCTCCATTGTGTTTATTTAACTTGAACAATCTCAGCACCTTTTCTGGCACTTGGCTGAAAGTGTAAGTGATGAGACCATTGGCACCGATATCCTTGTCACTGGCTTCAACTCTTGTGACCGGTGTATCCAATGGGCTGTTTTCCATTAGTGTCACTTTGTACACAGATTGGTCAAACTGAGGCACATTGTCATTGGCATCCAGAACATCAATAATAATTTGAACTGTTCCAGTTCTTTTGGGGGTCCCTCCATCAACTGCTGACAGAATAAGGGAAATCTCTGGGTTCACCTCACGGTCTAGTGGTTTCTCTAACACCAATTCTGCATAGTTGGTACCATCAGTTTGTCTTTGCACATCCAGCCTAAAATGTTCATTAGGACTAAGGGTGTAGCTCTGGATAGCATTTTCTCCTTGGTCTGAATCCTGAGCTGTTTCCAAAGGGAATCGTGTATTTGTTGGAATGTGCTCTGATATTTGAAATAGGATTTGATTTGTGGAAAATGTTGGGGAATTATCATTCACATCCTCTATCTGAACTTCAATTCTATGCAGCTGCCATGGGTTTTCCAGCAAGATTTCGGAGAATAGAAGACAAGGATCATTCTGACCACACAGGGATTCTCGATCTATTTTGTCCTTTAATATCAAATCCCCAGAATGAGGATCCAGCTGGAAATACTGCTTGGAGCTCTTAGAAACCAGCCGGGCTCTCCGAGCAGACAGCTCCTTTGCATCCACTCTCAAATCCTTCAGCACATTTGCCACCAGAGACCCACTTTTCTTTTCCTCCACCACTGAATAGCGAAAGGACTCACACATTGCCACACATGCACAGAGATATAGAAAAAAAGACACAACTTGCCTGCTGTTGTGATTTATTTCCATATTCGCAGCCTCTTCTCCTCTCAGATCTGAAACACGTGATGATTCTTTCTAAGACGACTGCCAAAGTTGATTGTCCATTGTAAGTTTGCAAGGTAAACTTTCGTATTTTTAAATCTAGAAATGGATATGGTGCCTATTTCCACATGAAATTTCTATAGATTTGCTTGTAATGGTGATCTGCTTCCTTTCTCGCTGAGATTCCTTTGTCTGGTGGTTACAGACTTCAGACAGCAATTGCTGCTCCTTGATTATTTGTTCTGTGTTGTGTAATAGCACCACCTTGTGCTCAAGCTATGATATGATTCCCATAGACTTTGTGACTTTCCAAACTGCATTACAGTGGTACCTCATGTTAAGTACTTAATTCGTTCTGGAGGTCTGCTCTTAACCTGAAACTGTTTTTAACCTGAAGCACCACTTTAGCTAATGGGGCCTCCCACTGCCGCTGCGCCGCCGCCGCACGATTTCTGTTCTCATCCTGAAGCAAAGTTCTTAACCTGAAACACTATTTCTGGGTCAACGGAGTCTGTAACCTGAAGCGTATGTAACCTGAAGCGTATGCAACCCGAGGTACCACTGTAATATAATCTTCTATAGCAATGTTTATAATATTTCATAAGGTGTATTCTCATAACCTGTGTTTTATATATCAGAGTTGTCAGTAAGGCACTTTAGATGTATATTTCCTGAACCCAGGAGGCGGTTGGGCTAGTTGACCCTTGGGATAGAATCATGGAATCATAGAATTGTTGAGTTGGAGGCAACACCAAGGATCATCTATTCCCACCTCCGCAATGCAGGAATCTCAATTAAAGCATCCATGAGAGATGGCCATCCAACCTCTGCTTAAAAACCTCCCAGGAAGGTAGAACTCACAGCCTCTTGAGGGAGTCTGACTGTTGAACAGCTCTGTCAGAAAGTTCTTCCTGATGTTTCGTTGGACTCTCCTTTCTTGTGACTTGATGCCATCGGTTCAGGTCCTACCCTCTGGAATGTATGCTCCATCTTCCATGTAAGAGCCCTTAAGATATTTGAAGATGGCTATCACCTATCAGTCATCTTCTCTCAGTCTCCTCTTCTCCAGGCTAAACATACCCAGCTCCTTCAACCGTTCCTCATAAAGCTTGGTTTCCAGAACTTTTATCACACTGCTTGGCCTCCTCTGCACACATTCCAGCTGATCAACATCCTTCTTAAATTGTGACACCCAGAACTGGACACAGTATTCCAAGTGTGGTCTGAACAAGTCAGAATAGAGTTGTACTATTACTTCCCTTGATCTGGACATTATACTTCTGTTGATGCAGCCTAGAATAGCATTAGCTTTTATTTTTATTTTTTTGTTGCTGCTTCACACATAATGTTAAGCTTGTGGTCCACTAAGACCCCTAGATCCTTTTCACATGTAAGCCATGTATCCCCCATCTTATATTTGTACAGCTGGTTATTAATGCGGAAAGAGTTGGATCCCTTCCAACTCTTCAATTCTATGATTCTATGTCTCACTGACTTATTCATTCAAGCTAAACAAGAAACATGAGACACCCTAATGAGTAGGAAAACTTCAGAATGGGAACTGTGTACATAGTATCACAGAACTGTGCACCACAGAGATGGATGGATCCTTGAAGATCATTGATGCAGCCCTTCATTGATGCAGGAGATGTACAGCTAAAGTATCTGCAACAAATAGATCCAACAAGATAGTCCCCCACCTGCTGCCAGAATGCTTAAAGAATGTTATTCTTAAAGTGTGGTGTCCAAAACTGGACATAGTAGTCCAGGTGAGATCTAACTGTTGTTGTTGTTTAGTCATTTAGTCGTGTCCGACTCCTCGTGACCCCCTGGACCAGAGCACGCCAGGCACTTCTGTCTTCCACTGCCTCCCGCAGTTTGATCAAACTCATGCTGGTAGTTTCGAGAATATTATCCAACCATCTCGTCCTCTGTCATCCCCTTCTCCTTGTGCCCTCCATCTTTCCCAACATCAGGGTCTTTTCCAGGGAGTCTTCTCTTCTCATGAGGTGGCCAAAGTCTTGGAGCCTCAGCTTCAGGGGTGATATGATGGCCATGTTCAAATATATAAAAGGATGTCACATAGAGGAGGGAGAAAGGTTGTTTTCTGCTGCTCCAGAGAAGCGGACACGGAGCAATGGATCCAAACTACAAGAAAGAAGATTCCACCTAAACATTAGGAAGAACGTCCTGACAGTAAGAGCTGTTCGACAGTGGAATTTGCTGCCAAGGAGTGTGGTGGAGTCTCCTTCTTTGGAGGTCTTTAAGCAGAGGCTTGACAACCATATGTCAGGAGTGCTCTGATGGTGTTTCCTGCTTGGCAGGGGGTTGGACTCGATGGCCCTTGTGGTCTCTTCCAACTCTATGATTCTATGATTCTAACTCTTTGTGACCCCCTGGACCAGAGCACGCCAGGCACTCCTGTCTTCCATTGCCTCCCACAGTTTGCTCAAACTCATGTTGGTAGCTTTGAGAACACTGTCCAACCATCTTGTCCTCCGTCGCCCCCTTCTCCTTGTGCCCTCAATCTTTCCCAACATTAGGGTCTTTTCCAGGGAGTCTTCTCTTCTCATGAGGCGGCCAAAAGTATTGGAGCCTCAGCTTCAGGATCTGTCCTTCCAGTGAGCACTCAGGGCTGATTTCCTTAAGAATGGATAGGTTTGATCTTCTTGCAATCCATGGGACTCTCAAGAGTCACCTCCAGACCAGAATTCGAAGAACTAGTGTAGTAAAAAAAAACCCTGGAACTATTACTTCCCATTAGTTGGAAATAATTGCCACTTTTTTGTCTGGGAGGAGAGTCCTGCTGACTCATGTGCTGCTTGTGATGAATTTCATGTACAAATCTTTCCACATGTACAAAATTGCAAAACTAGATATCCTCCAGGTGCATTTCATTTATTTATTAATTGCCTATTTTGTCTGTGTGGTTTTGTTTGTTTTGTTGTTGTTTTTTGCCTATCATGGCTATTTTGAATTTTATTCCTGTCTTAAGAGGTGTTAACTGCCCTTCTTAATTTTGTGCCATCTGCAAATCTGGTAAGGATTCCTTCCATCTGTTCATATAACTTTCACATAACGGTTTGTTTGGATAAATATGGCAATATTTGGAATGAATTTATACAAAATGCAGTAGACTATTAATATATACATATGTATTCAAATAATCACATCAAACTAATAAAAGAATGTATGGGTTAGGGTATTTTTCATATATTGTATATATTCATATATATTTTCTACACATTTTTGTGCCTGTTTTTTTTTCTTTTCTTCTATTTTTCTTTGCATCACTTTATTTCTTTATAACTGAAACCTTTTCAATAAAATATATTCATATCATATCACATCACGGTGTAGAGTATCTGGCCCAGGACGGAGCCCTGCTGCCCCCCCACTCAAAACCACACTTTTATTTGATGCGGAAATACTGATGAGCACTCTTTGATTACAGTTTTCCAACCAGCTATGAATCCACCAGATCATCTAGTTTGCATATATGTAACCCGCTAACCAAAAGATCATGGACTTTGTTAAATTTTTTCCTGAAGTCAAGACAAATTGCATCCAGAGCATCCACAAAAAATGGATATAAGATTAGTCTGGCAGGATTTATTTTTAACAAATCCATGTTCTCTTCTACTAATCACTGCATTGTTTTCAATATGCTTACAAAATGACTTCTTTGTAATCTTCTAATATTTTCCTTAGACTCAAAGTCAGATGGAATAGACTCAAATTTCCCAGATCCCCCCTTTTTTTTAAGACTGGAGTGACATTTGCCTGTCTCCAGGCCTGTAACAACTCACCTGCTCTCTAAAATTTATCACTGTTGATAGACAGAGGCTTTCTGAAAAACTATCAGCAATTCATCTGTCCCTGAAGTCTTGAACTAATTTAACACAACTAGGTCATCCTTGACCAACTACTAATCTATCTTGAACTGCAGTCCTGCACCCCAGACATCAGTCCTGCTGCTTATGTAGGGTTGGACACAGTTCCCCTTTGGGAGAAGATAAATGCAAAACAGGAGATGAGCAGTTCTGCCTTCTTTTTGTTGTCTGTTACCATTTCACCATCCTTACCTGGAAAAGCCCCTTTTCTTCCTCACCAGCCTCAGCTCCTTCGTAACATTAGCTTTCCTGACAACTGCCCATAGAATTCAAAGCTACTTGCCTGTGTTCATCCTTGGTTACCTGTCCTTCCATTTATTATATATGTCTTCCCTGCTCTTAATGAACTGTACTGGTTACTGGTTTGTTTCTAGGTTGTTATTCTTCTAATCCATGGCTATTGCATTGCTGCCTTGCAATATTGCAGAAATGAGCCTTCTCCACAGTGGCACTGACCCTCTGGAACACCCTCCCCCCATGCCATTCAAATTGAATTATTTCTTTTTGTTTTGTTTTGACCTTCAGCTGTGTTGTCTAAATAAATCCATAATGCTTTCCTCCAGTTTCTTTTGCTGTTGGTTTTGGTATAGTGTACTTTAAGTGCAGTCACGTTTAATCATATTTTTGCTGATTTATTGTTGCCCACTTTAAGATACCTTTCTAACTAAACAATATGTAGACTGAGGACTAATCTACACTGGTCAGTTATAACGTCAAAAATTCGTTATACAAATGTGACACCAGAGGGCATTGTAGAGCAGCAATCCATCATTAATGGGAAACTGAGCTGAGAGCTATATTACATTGTGTTGGGTTTTTTTCCATTTTCTCAGATCAGTGTATATCCATCCTGAGAGTGTTCCATATGATGCTAGATGCTTTCCAGCATATGCCAAGTTAAGTTGCAAGCAGAGCATTATTAGCACAATAGAAACCATCTGGAATACAGTTTTCCTATCAGCTGTTAATGAGAACTTTTATGCTAACATAACCAAAAGAAGGCTGCACCAAGAAAAGAGGGAGGCAGTTTATTTCTTGTTTCCTTCTCCAATGGAGGCCAGTCTTGTTATCTAGCAGAGGGGTGGGGAACCTCAGACACAGGGACCAAATGCAGCCCTCCAAGCCCCTCTGTCTGACCACACCCCTCTCCCCACGCCACACCCCTCCCTGGCCCAACTTTGTTACTCATGTCCTTTTGCTTGACTGGAGTGAGCCTGTGAATCCTAATCTTGACACTTGCTTACATGGGTTGAGGAATGTCTCAGTGTGTTTAGAAGCTAGCCTACTTGAGGAAGGTAGAATTTACATTTATTGCTCCACCCACTTTTGCTTCTGGCCCTTCCCAACACTGCCATGTGGCCCTTGGAAGGTGGTCCAGAAGGAAATATAGTCCTTGAGGTGAAAAAGGCTCCCCTAAGGATTACTGTCTAAGCCTGAGAAAGTAAACGTTGTCATGAAAGCTTCTAGTGAATATGTGAATGGCCCTGTGAAGCGATACTTCTTTCCTTAAGTCCCCAGATGTCCAGATGAGCCCCAGCAATGAAACAACCAATAAATGCTATCTTCAAGAAGCAAAGTAATATAAAAGGTGTAGAAACAGATAGCCGTTGGTCGTCTGCAATATTACCATCTATGTGGATTTAGTCCTGCAGTATTTCAATAAGAGTCTGGCCACTCCTGAAATACAGATGCAGAGCAAGCTATTGCAAAGGAAAGGAAATTTTACCTTGAGAGATTCTCTGCTGCTTACGAGGTTGCTTATTGAGTCAATAAACTGCCATTTGCTTTGGTGACTAATCTGGTGGGGGTGCTGTGCTCAAATGTCATTTTAGATAGAGAATAACAGGAAACTCACACACTGGTTGTAAGGACTGGCGGAACTACCAAAATCAGAAAAATATAGGACAGCATATTTCTTCAAGAAACAGTAAACATGTGCAGCAGAAATACCGGTAACTGCTGCAGAAAATATGTAGATAACATACCTGGATTTAAAAACACCTGTTAACATGTATGTGGGAACCCTGCTCCTTCAGGCTGCAGTTGCGGGAGAGGAAGAAAGCCAAAATACTCCACAAACTCCATGTGGATCCTTTTTCCTCTCCCCCAAGCTGGTCATTAAAAGAATGTTGTGGTCTTTCAAACTAATGCCTGTGTTTGCTTTCTCCTCACTTCCCTCTCCTTTGTGTTTTGGGTACTGATTACATACAAGTCACTCTTGGTGCCTTTCAAGCTGAACAGCAGGTCAAAAAAAGTAAATAAATGCACATAAGCATTTAAAGATATACACATCAACATCACCCATGCTTTATTAATTTCTTCTATGAGAGAGTGACATGCTGGTGTACATGCAACAATTATGATTCTGCATGAAGTCTGACTCTCAAGCCAGTTTTAGTGCAGAGACCCACAGTGAAGGAGCTAACAGACAGGACCTCAAAAATGAATAAAGATGGAGATATAAATGGGCTTGCAGGAAAGGGGTTTGAGTAAATGATAGATGAAAGAAGAAAAGGGACAATGGGAAATCGAGATAAAGAATGAAAGGGACATTGGGCTGTGGGAAACAACCTCACATTGAACTTGGAAACAGCAGGGCTCTCCTGTTAGCAAAGAATGCCACAGAACAGGGAAAGAAACTGAGACAACAAAGGAGCAGTAGGACAGAGGTGCAGAAAGTAGATATGGAATAAGCAGTCCAGGTGAAAACTGAGCCTCTTTCTGTAGTCACTGTATAGGTAACCAATATAGAGCAGTATAAGGAGACAGAAACAAATATAAGATGTGATAGATTACCAAACAACAAGAATTCCCAAAGTCATCAATGACCTGTTTTGATATTTCTGGTATACTGAGACTGATATTTTAAACCAACAAAAAACAAACCAACAAACCAACCAAAACCTTCTTTCTCACCTCTTTCCCTGATTCGGTTTTCCCCGCCTGGTCAGGAATATCTTGGGAAGCAGACGGAGGGGTCTGGTTCACATTGAGGTTTGGGTCCCCCACAGAAAAAACAGGAATGAGGGGCCTGAGGAATCTGAACTCGCTGCTCAAGGACCCACCGGTTAAGCAAACATCGTAGTGGTAACTCCTGGAAAGAGACCCGCTCTGAGAATCGCCACAGTTCTCTGGGATGTCGGGTCTGGCAGGTGGGAAGTGAGGAGGGGCAGCGATAAAACTTTCCCTGGGATCCCTCCTGCAGATCTTGATGGCAGCAAAGGAAACAATGCAAACAAGGAACACAAAGGAGACTGCAGCCAGGCAGATCACCAAATACAAGGTCAAGGTCCCATCTTCTTCGTGTTCCTCTTTACTGACCTCCACAGCCTTCATGTAAGGATCCGAAAGCCACCCACGGGAAGGACATGGAGCATGGCAGTGCTGCTCTGGGGAGGGAGCCCGTTGTCCCTGACCACTATCAGGAGTCTCTGCTTGCTGGTGTCTCGCTCGCTCAGGGCTCTCCTGGTTCTCACTTCCCCATTCTGGGCTCCTATGCTGAAAAGACCAGGGTCTGTGGCCTTCAGCAGCTCATAGGAAAGCCACGAGTTCTGGCCAGAATCTCCATCCACAGCCACCACCTTGGTGACCAGGTAGCCGGCCTCCACCGACTTGGGAACCAGCTCATTGCAGGGGATGTGCTGTTCTGAAGAGGGGAGAGGAAGAAGGGCGCGTTGTCGTATTCGTCTAGGATTACGACTCGGACAGTAACTTCTGAGCTGAGGGGAGGAGACCCTCCATCTGTAGCCCTCACTGTCACTTTGAAATCTTTGATCTGCTCATAATCCAGAGATCGGAGGGCATACAGATTTCCGCTTTCAGAGTTGACTGAGATGTAAGAGGCCACAAGGCCATCAGTGACCTTCCCAGGCAAAAGGGAGTAGGTGACCTTGGCATTCTTCTCAGTGTCCAGATCAGCAGCATGGACTGAGCCAATGAGCAGCCCTGGAATATTGTTTTCCCGTATCTGCATTTCACATGAAGACGTTTCAAATACTGGAGGGTTGTCATTGATATCTGAGATCTGAATGTTAATCACTCTTGTTGAAGTGAGCCTGGGAGAGCCCTGGTCAACGGCTATGATGGTGACATTATACTCTGAGACCTTCTCTCTGTCCAAGGGACTTTGGACCACCAGCTGGTAATAGTTATCCATTGTGCGTTTTAAGGCAAAGGGAAGGTTTGTCTCCACAGAGCACACAGTTCTGCCATTATCACCAGAGTCTTGATCTGTGACACTGAAGAGGGCCACTACTGTGTCCTGGGGAGAATCTTCTTGTATGCTGCCAGTGATGGATATGACCGACACTTCAGGGACATTGTCATTCACATCCTCAATCTCTACCAGGACCTTGCAGTGCCCTGAAAGACCCCCTCCATCTGTTGCCCTGATGTTCATGTCATAGCTGGTTTCTTTTTCATAATCAACTTGACCTAAAATAGTGATTTCCCCAGTCATTTCATTTAAATGAAATAAATTGTATATTTTTTCAGACACCCGGTGGAATGAGTAGGTGATCTGTGCATTTGAACCAAAATCCAAATCTGTAGCTTCCACTTTGAAGACCAGAGCACCCTGTGGGCTGTTTTCCTTTAACCTTACTTTATATTCTGAATGAGTAAACTCTGGGGAATTGTCATTGATGTCAAGAACATCAATATTTATTCGAACTGTGCCTGTTTTTTGTGGCTCCCCGCCATCCACAGCCGTGAGAGTCAATCCAAAGTGTGGCTCCTTCTCCCTGTCCAGTGGCTTCTCCAGGACAAGATCCACATATATCCTTCCATCCTTGTTGCTTTCTACTCTGAGCCGGAAATGTTCATTGGGACTGAGTGTGTAGTTTTGGATGTTATTTTCCCCCAGGTCCTCATCTTTGGCAGATTCCAAGGGGAATTGTGTATTTGTAGGAACATTCTCAGGAATTTTCAGATCAAATTCATTTTTCGAGAATTTTGGAACATTATCATTCACATCTTCTACCTCGACTACAATGCTGTAGAGATCTAATGGGTTTTCCAGTACAATTTGTGACAGAAGTAAGCAAGGATTAATCTGGTCACACAAAGCTTCTCTATCTATTTTATCATTTATCAAAAGATCCCCAGAGCGAGTATCAAGACGAAAATATTGCTTAGTGTTCTTAGAAACCAGCTGGGCTCTGCGAGCAGAGAGCTCCCCTTTCCCCAGTTTCAAATCCTCCAGCACATTAGCCACCAAAGACCCCCTTTTCTTTTCTTCAGGCACAGAATAGTGAAGTGAAATACTCAGTGCTCCAGGAAGACAAAGGAAAAGCAAAAAATACAGACCTTGTTCCTTTCTGTAGCCGTCTCCCATGGCTCAAGAATCTGCCTCTTCAATATCTGGCCAAAAAATTATCTTTCTGACAGACATCCAATGATAATCTCTGCTGCTGTAGAAATGAATTTGGTGCTGGAGGCTTTTATATCTTCATCACAGACAAAAACTGGCTATCTTTTTGTGGCAGAGGTTTCTTTCGAAAATAAAATTCTGAGTTCCAAATGATGTGTTTGTGCATACTGCCACCATGTGGATGTGTAAAGAAATAATAACTAGGAGTATGCTTTTGATTCAATGTTTGCTAAAACTCGAAAGTCTCACATACACACCATATTGCTTTTCCACAAATAATCCTAGGAAGTGTAGTTTAACTGTCATAAAGCTGCAATTACAATTACCTAAAACAAAATCCACTTTTCTGAAGCTCCTCTCTCCTACTTGAAATACTGTAGATGCAACAAACAGTTATTATGCCTCCATATTATGGTGAATGACCTCTGCCTCCCAAAGAGATAATGTATTATGAGAATAATATTTAAGCAAGATATGACCATGTCATAAGTAACTCCCAATAGAGCTTTGTAATTTTTTCCAATATTACACATCTAAAAATTGAATATATGAAAGCTATATAAAGCAATATTCTCACCTGAACCATATGTTGACTTTCACCTGCATAACTCTGGACGCCTTCAGAATCATTGGAGCTCCTTGGATTCACCTGAGTGTTAGGAGGCTCCACAGAGAAAACAGGAAACAGGGGCCTGAGAAACCTGAACTCGCTGTTCAGAGACCCACCAGCTAAGCACACCTCATAGTTGTAAGCCTGGGATAGAGATCCAGCACCAGAATCCGCAGAGTTCTCCTGGGAATCAGGTCCCACCGGGAAATTGGCTGCAGAGTTGTAGGTTGCTGTGAACTTTTCACGTTTCTGCAACTTGATTACAACAAACGCCACCACAGAAATGAGAAAGATGCTTGAGATGGCAGCCAAGCAGATGATCAAATACATCGTCAGGCTGGGGTCTTCCTCCTCCACTGTTTCCTCCTTTGGGAGAGCCACACTTTTCAGATAAGGGTCAGAGAAGCCGTCCACTAGAAGGATTCTGAGCGTGGCAGAGGTGGACTGGGGAGGATGGCCGTTGTCTCGGACCACCACAATCAGATTCTGCTTGAAGCTGTCTCGGTTGCTGACCAGCCTCAGGGTGGTCACTTCTCCATTCTGGGCCCCCACCGTGAACAGACCTGGCTCTGTGGCCTTCAGCAGTTGGTAGGAAAGCCAAGAGTTCTGCGCAGAATCCCTGTCCACAGCCACCACCTTGGTGACCAGGTAGCCAGTCTCTGCCCCTCGGGGAACCAGGTCATTTGAGGGGGAAGTGCCATTCTGGAGAGGGTAGAGGATGAAGGGGGCATTGTCATTTTCATCCACGACCTGAACGTGGATGGGAACTTCTGAGCTCAGTGGAGGGGAACCTGAATCCACAGCCCTCACCGTCACCTGGAAATCTTGTACTTCCTCATAATCCAGAGACCGGATGGCATACAGGTTCCCCGTTTCAGAGTTGATGGAGATGTAAGAGGATGTGGGGCCATCATTGACCTTCCCAGGCAAAAGCGAGTAGGTCACTTTGGCATTCTGCGCTGTGTCCAGATCAACAGCATGGACCAAATTGATCAGAAGACCTGGAATATTGTTTTCTCTTAACTGCATTTGATAGAATGGCTTTTCAAACACTGGAGGGTTGTCATTTACATCTGACACTTCAACATGAAGTATTCTTGTGGAAGTGAGTCTGGGAGAGCCCTTGTCAGTGGCTGTGATGGTGATGTTATATTCACTGACTTTTTCTCTGTCCAGTGATTGTTGGGTCACCAGCTGGTAATAGTTGTTCTCCGTGGGTTTGAGCACAAATGGCAGGTTGACTTCAGTGGTGCAGGCAGTTCTGCCACTGTCCCCAGAGTCCACGTCGGTGACACTGAAAAGGGCCACCACTGTGTCTGGGGGAGAGTCTTCAGGTAAGATACTTTTGACGGATGTTATGGTAATCTCTGGGGCATTGTCATTCTCATCCTCAATGTCCACAATGACTTTGCAGTAAGCAGAAAGACCTCCTCCATCCGTAGCTCTGACGTGCAGCTCATAATTTGTGTTTTCTTCATAATCAATTGTCCCTGAAACAGTAATTTCACCAGTGTTTTTGTTTAAGTTGAATGATCTTAGCATATTTTCTGGTACTTCACTGAAGGAATAAGTTATAGTTGCATAGGAGCCATAATCTTTGTCGCTTGCTTCAACTTTTGCAACCAGCGTATTCACTGGGCTGTTTTCCATTAGTTTTACTTTGTACACAGATTGTTCAAACTGAGGGAAATTATCATTGTTATCCAGAACATCAATGATTATTTGTGCTGTGCCAGTTCTTTTCGGGATTCCTCCATCAGCAGCTGACAGAATTATGGTAATCTGTGGGTTTACCTCACGATCTAACTGCTTCTCCAATACCAGTTCTATATATTTGCTTCCATCACTGTGCCTTTGGACATCCAGTTTAAAATGTTCATTAGGACTAAGTGTATAATTTTGTACAGCATTTTCTCCTATATCTGAATCCTGTGCTCTCTCCAAAGGGAATCGAGTGTTCACTGGTACCTGCTCTGGTATTTCAAAAATGAATTTCATTTTTGAGAATTTAGGGGCATTATCATTGACATCTTGTATTTGAACTTTGATTCTCTGCAGCTGCAATGGGTTTTCAAGCACAATTTCAGAGAATAGAAGACAAGGATCATTCTGACCACACAGAGACTCTCGGTCTATTTTGTCCTTTAATATCAAATCCCCAGAATGTGGATCCAGCTGGAAATACTGCTTTGAGCTCTTAGAAACCAGCCGGGCTTTCCGAGCAAAAAGTTCCTTTGCATCCACTCTCAAATCTTTTAGCACATTCGCTACTAGAGACCCACTTTTCTTTTCCTCCGGCACTGAATAGAGGATGGGTTCACACATTGCAATATGCATGCAGAAATAAAGAACCAAACTCAAAACTTGCCTTTTGTGCCTTTCCATTGTTCCAGCTTCACTTCCAGTCGGTTCAAATTAGAAGAAGTATCTGTCCAGAATTTCCTTTCATGTGTTACACACCTTCAAGGCCAAACCATCCAAGATGCAGAGGTCTGTTCCTTTGGATTGTAATGAGCATATGTCCTTTCTTTTAAAGATTGCTTTGTCTAATGGCTGCAGCTCTTTGGGAGAGCATTTGCTCTCTGATAATATGGTCTGGGTTGTGTAACAGCACCACCTTGTGTTGGAATTGTGTTACAACTCCATTAATGTTACCACTTGCCAACCTACCCAGATCTTTTAGGAGATATAGAAATCCTTAGGTTTTCTAAAGTGTAGTCTATTAACTTATATAATTATATATATCATTACATATATATATATATATCACCCACATGAAGACTGCTGGGACCGACTGACAGAGTGCCTTGCATTCAATTTTCAAAATGCCCCACAATCTGGATACAAAGAATAAAGTATTCAAATACACTCTGATTACTACAAAAGTGGTAAATTTAGACTTATCTCTCTTATACTGGCAGACAACTTATAACCTAAAATGATTAAGGTGTTTTTCTGTTAGCTATGTGGATTAAACATCATAATATTTTCCAAAATAATATTTTATAAATTCTGAACTAACATAAGGTTCGTGGTGGGTGGGGAGAAGAGATAGAATTATGCTAAGCTAGTGGAATTTTTTGCTCCCCTTCCATCTGAAAATTTGTCTTATATGCCAGTTTACAAATATGTTTTGAAACTGTCCTTAATATCAAAATCAGCTTCTCAAGTGATTCAGTCATCTTATTAAAGGATGGGAGGTGGAATCAAAGACACTGCCAGCCTCATAGATCTAATTCTGTGGGTTTAAAAAAAAAATCTGCTCAACTTATATAAATAGAATATATGTTTAAAACAAAAAAACAAAAAAACAAATATAAACCACAGCTGAAATATATGAAATCCAAATTGGACCACAGCATTCTTGCATAATATCCATAGTAGAGGTAGCAATATTAATACAATAAATATTGATAACAAAAAGATGGGGGGGGTGTTTTTCCACCAAAGAAATCTAGATGTAGTCATCACTAGTCCTCCTCAGGTCTCAAAACCAGATTTCCTTTTACAGTGTTATTCAAATGGCTGGTAAAATATATATAATTAATGGTTCCAGAAAGCTAGAATCACATTCACAGAAAGATGTTACAGCAATAAATAGCCCCTTGAAGGTCAGAAATGTCTCTTGCATATGTATGTATGTATGTATGTTTAATAGTGTTACAGAATTGGAGTTGAACTAAATTGGTTTTTGTGATTTCCTCCATCCCCATTATTTTATAGCTGTAAGAGGATTCTGCAGAAGATGATGACCTGGTTGGACAATTTTAAGCTTGCAGATTCCCTGGGAGGTTGGGCCTTTCAATAACTAAAGAGATGGCCGAGTACAAGTGATTTGTTGCCTTAAGAAATAATGGTCAGAGTTCAATCTGGAAGGTGGCATGTCCTTCTTCCCCCTTGCCTGACTGGAAGCAATGTCATTAAAGTGTTTGTAAAAGAAAACAATATATTGACAGCCTTGATCAGACTCAGAGAGCAATGGAAATACTTTACTCACTCCCTCTATCGCATGCCTCCTTTTCTGTCTTGCTTGTTTGTTTGTTTGTTTGTGCCTGCATAGATGGTGCCTGCAACAACAGAGGAATAGAATTGGGCAGAAAACAAACTCTCCTAACGATAAACATCCAGCTCCTTGATATAAAAACCAGCAAAGTCACTAAGCCTAGCATCATTGCACATATTTTCGCAGTGTGTTAAGTGTGACTGCCAAGTCCACACTTGTAGTCATACTCGTAGAGTGTGGGAGAGTCAGAGGAAAGAACTCTACACTTGAGGTGCAAAACATGGGCTATTTGAAAGCACTTTTGCAAACAGCCCTTCAAACCTATGGAAACAGAAGGGCAGTTTGTGTAAGGACTTTCAAACAGCCCCACAGTTGGGGTCCCAACAGCCCCCTGATGACACATCCTGGCAGGTGATTGACAGATGGGTGGCCCCACCCACCTGTCAAATTTGGCCCTTCAAGGATGGGGCGATAGGGATCTGGCCTATTCTATTGACTAACATTTATTTTGACTACTTTCCAAATTCATTTGTTGCAATATCAATGTTTGGATACTCTTTTTGCCTACACAAGTCAATGCATGAATTCTTAAGTACTTAACCTATTGTGAAGAACTTGCTAAAGACCTATCCCCAAATTTGTCACTATTTTCTGTCTATACAACTAATCAATTAACCAATTAGACAACTGCACACCCAGAAGACTAACATTTGAATGAACTGTCTTTCCCCTTCTGTAACCAAAACTGTCAATTATTTATTAACCAAGATAAACTGTTCAGGCTAAATTTAAAGTGAACAAATTGCAACTTTGAAAACTGCAGTTTACAATTACAAACTTGCAATCTTAAAAACAGGGGAAGGGAATCAACATAAAACACATTTCCTGGAAATTAAACTGAATATCATGAACATAAAGAGGATATAAGTAATATAATGGGTAGAATATAATAATTAGAAGGAAAAATCAGGTGTGTAAGGAAGAAACCTCAAAAGATTTTCTACAGCTTGATGTGCTGTCAGCATTGAAGACACCTTTGGAATAAACCCAAAATTTCCACATAAAAATCCCTTCTATCAACATTTTAACATGCATTGCCTTTATCTTTCCTTTTTCCTCTCCCCCCAAACCTTATTTCACCCTTTTTACTTTAACTTTAAAGATGACTAAAGTAAAGATTATTTCATTGAACATTAGAGTTGAACTCATTCAGAAGGCATCTGAAATTTGCTAAACCACTAAATAAAGAAAAAACTATGATAACCCCTTTGCTGTAAATTATATTAAAAGATGAAGAAATACACTTCAATGCTTCAAAATCTGGATAATATTTTTTCATCCTGTTATGATGAAAAGTGGGTTGCAATCTTGAATTAAAACCATCCATTATTTTATTTTTTAAATGTAAAATCAATGAACGATCCAGCACAAATATTTGGCACTGGTTTAGTGGGGGGAAAGCCAATAATGATTGGGCGTATCTATGCGTCAAATGAAAATCAAAAAGCATTAACAAAATTAATGCCATAATTGTTTCCAGCCTAGACAAAGAAATTATACTTGGTGGAGGCTTTATTTGAATCAAATTTTTAAAATTGGACAGGACAAAATATAAAATATCAGGAGTAATTCCAACTCTTTAAAAAAAAATTACACAAGTTTTTCTAGTACAAACCTTGTGGCAGTTTCAACCAAAGGAGAAAAATTTCACAATTTATGAAATCACTCAATAATTTATTTATTTTTTACATCCCCGTGGTTAACTCAGAAAGTGAAGTAAGCAAATACAGGATGAAACATTTATTTTGTTGTTGTTGTTACAAGAATTTGAAAGTTTGGAAAATATACCACTGAAGGGCACCTAGACAATATGTTAATGTTTAATTCAGAGTTTGTTCTGACAATAAAACTGATAATTGAAGCATATTTTAATAATTCCCCAGAAGACTGTCCTGTAACAAATTGGGAAGTCTTCAAAGCAGTCACTACAAGAGAAATCAAACAAAAAGCTGCATATTTCAAAAAAGAAAAAAGACCATTAATGAGTTAATAACACAGATTAGAGATGTGGTGCAACAACATAAAAGGACAAACAATATTACAAAGACTTGATGCTACTAAAAACCCCCACTTAATTTAGTATAGTGTTCATCGGTTTGTAAGGTATCAACTTGGGTCAAGTAACTACTTAACATTATTTCCAGAATAAGGAAACAATCCATACAGATAAAGCATTTGATAAAATGGAGTGATCTATTCTGGGAGCTGCACAAAATGTAAATGGACACTCCTTTAATCTCCTGGATTATGATGTTTTCAAACCCTACTGCTTCAAAACAGACAAAGTACAATCAGAAACATGTAAATTAAATAGATGCACTAGATAGGAATGCCAATTATCAAGGTTACTATTTAATTATCTGTGGAACTTATGGCCAAAGCTGTTAGACTGGATCACATAAATAAAGGATTGACAATATTAACAAACCACTTAAAAAGAAGTTTGTATGCAGATGACACTGTGCTAATTCTGAAAGATCCAGAAAAATAATTTGAGCCACTTGTACAGTAACTTTAAAAACTATAGAAGACAGAATTGAAAATAAATATCAAATCCCTTGATCATCATGCCTAGGGTATTAATTTCCCCACACTTTTACAATGATCTCTCAAACACTGGAGAATTGTCTTGTTCTCTTAAGACTTGAGCATAAGTCATTATTATTGAACTGAACCACAGAACATCATCAGCGGTCATGCCTTCAGTGAGTATTGTTCTGTCCAAAGGAATGTGGTTCACAAGTTCATAATAGTTATTGACAGTGACTATTAGGGAAGTGGGAGAAATTTATTTTCTTTCATATTCTAATATGAACCAACCTAAATCACAGTTGCCAAAAAAAATTATGAAGCAAAACAGAGCTGCCCTTCAAAAGTCTTATTTCTCTGAATTCTCTAATGCAATTATCCAACCATTTTGTACAGAAATGGGCATATTAGAGGAAAGCATGCATAATGTGAAAATAACATATAAAAAGACACTATATTAGGGAAATTGCTTGCAAAAAACCTGTATGTGTGTATATTGGGTGAAATGTCACTAAAATGCTGCTGAATTTTTGTAAGGTCTTAACTCCAATTTTTTTGTGTGGAAATATGGTGACCTGAATGTAAAATTGGAAAAATGAGAAACTGAGAGCAACTAAAATTGAATTATTCGTCCATCCCTAGTGACTTTTAATAAAAAGGAAGCTGTATCTCCTCAGAGTAGAAGTTTCTGTTGTTCACTCTGGTGTCCTTTTCTATTATACTTTAAAGGAGAATGACTGTATGCAATGGACAAGCCACTGATCATTTCCAGACTTCTCAGAATTCATTGCATTCAGGCTTAGAAATCAGAGCCTTGTTGAGAGCAAATAATAGATAAACTGAACATAACTATATGAAAAGTATTAAAATACTTTTCTTACCTGGATATTATCTTTACATTCCTCTACTTGACTGGGGAGCTCTTGAGAATCATTGGAACTCCTTGGATTCACCTGAGTGTTAGGAGGCTCAACAGAGAAAACAGGGAATAGGGGCCTGAGAAACCTGAACTCGCTGTTCAGAGACCCACCAGCTAAGCACACCTCATAGTTGTAAGCCTGGGATAGAGATCCAGCACCAGAATCCGCAGAGATCTCCTGGGAATCAGGTCCCACCGGGAAATTGGCTCCAGAGTTGTAGGTTCCTATGAACTTTTCACGTTTCTGCAACTTGATTACAACAAACGCCACTACAGAAATGAGAAAGATGCTTGAGATGGCAGCCAAGCAGATGATCAAATACATCGTCAGGCTGGGGTCTTCCTCCTCTACTGTTTCCTCCTTTGGGAGAGCCACACTTTTCAGATAAGGGTCAGAGAAGCCGTCCACTAGAAGGATTCTGAGTGTGGCAGAGGTGGACTGGGGAGGATGGCCGTTGTCTCGGACCACCACAATCAGATTCTGCTTGAAGCTGTCTCGGTTGCTGACCGGCCTCAGGGTGGTCACTTCTCCATTCTGGGCCCCCACCGTGAACAGACCCGGCTCTGTGGCCTTCAGCAGTTGGTAGGAAAGCCAAGAGTTCTGGCCAGAATCCCTGTCCACAGCCACCACCTTGGTGACCAGGTAGCCAGTCTCTGCCCCTCGGGGAACCAGGTCATTTGAGGGGGAAGTGCCATTCTGGAGAGGGTAGAGGATGAAGGGGGCATTGTCATTTTCATCCACGACCTGAACGCGGATGGGAACTTCTGAGCTCAGTGGAGGGGAACCTGAATCCACAGCCCTCACCGTCACCTGGAAATCTTTTACTTCCTCATAATCCAGAGACCGAATGGAATACAGGTTCCCCGTTTCAGAGTTGATGGAGATGTAAGAGGATGTGGGGCCATCATTGACCTTCCCAGGCAAAAGCAAGTAGGTCACTTTGGCATTCTGCGCTGTGTCCAGATCAACAGCATGGACCGAATTGATCAGAAGACCTGGAATATTGTTTTCTCTTAACTGCATTTCATAGAATGGCTTTTCAAACACTGGAGGGTTGTCATTGACATCTGACACTTCAACATGAAGTATTCTTGTGGAAGTGAGTCTGGGAGAGCCCCTGTCAGTGGCTGTGATGGTGATGTTATATTCACTGACTTTTTCTCTGTCCAGTGATTGTTGGGTCACCAGCTGGTAATAGTTGTTCTCCGTGGGTTTGAGCACAAATGGCAGGTTGACTTCAGTGGTGCAGGCAGTTCTGCCACTGTCCCCAGAGTCCACGTCGGTGACACTGAAAAGGGCCACCACTGTGTCTGGGGGGGAGTCCTCAGATAAGATACTTTTGATGGATGTTATGGTAATCTCTGGGGCATTGTCATTCTCATCTTCAATGTCTACAATGACTTTGCAGTAAGCAGAAAGTCCCCCTCCATCCGTAGCTCTGATGCGCAGCTCATAATTGCTGTTTTCTTCATAATCAATTGTCCCTGAAACACTAAGTTCTCCATTAAGTGTGTTTAAAGTGAATGATCTTAATGCCATTTGCCCCACCTGGCTGAAGGAATAAGTAATAGTTGCATAGGAACCAAAATCTTTGTCGCTTGCTTCAACTTTTACAACCAGTGTATTCAGTGGGCTGTTTTCCATTAGTTTTACTTTGTACACAGATTGTTCAAATTGAGGGAAATTATCATTGTTATCCAGAACATCAACTATTATTTGTGCTGTGCCAGTTCTTTTGGGGATTCCTCCATCAACAGCTGACAGAATCAGGGTAATCTGTGGATTCACCTCACGGTCCAACGGTTTCTCCAATACCAATTCCGCATGTTTGCTACCATCACTGTGACTTTGCACATCCAGCCTAAAATGCTCATTAGGACTAAGGGTGTAGTTCTGAACTGTATTTTTTCCTTTGTCTGGGTCTTCTGCTCTCTCCAAAGGGAATCTGATATCCACAGGAGTCTGCTCAGGTATTTTAAAAATAAACTGGTTTTTAAAGAATTGGGGGGAATTATCATTCACATCTTCTATTTCAACTTCAATTCTGTGTAGCTGCAATGGATTCTCCAGCACAATTTCAGAGAGTAGAACACAAGGTTCATTCTGACCACACAGAGATTCTCGATCTATTTTATCCTTTACTATCACATCTCCAGAATGAGGATCCAGCTGGAAATACTGCTTGGAGCTCTTGGAAACTAGGTGGGCTCTCCGAGCAGACAGCTCCTTTGCATCCACTCTCAAATCTTTTAGCACATTTGCCACCAGAAATCCACTTTTCTTTTCCTCTGGCACTGAGTAGAGGAAGGACTCACACATTGCTACAAACATGCAAAGATATAATAAAGGAGACACAACTTGCCTGGTGTTGAGATGCACTTCCATTTTCCCAGCCTTACTTCCAGTCAGATATATGATGCAAGGTGGTTCTTCCGACGTTGTCTGTTATATATCCCCAATACAATTATTCATTTCTTTTGCTTTGTTTTTAATGGACTGTTGCCTTTTGAAAGATTTGCCTGAAATGAAGATCTGTTTCCTTTCTCTTGCTTCCTTTGCATTATGGCTCTGGGAGAGCAGTTACTCACTACTAAATAATCTACGGTATGTTGTGTAACAGCACCACCTTGTGTTTGAACTGCAATGTAGCTCCCGAAACATTACCACGTACCAACTCACATAGAATGATCTCATGTAACAGCTTCTATTTTATGACTGTATTCTTAACCCTTAACTGATATATAAAAAGGCTGTCACTTCTCATTCTCAAGCCCCCCCGCCCACTCTCCATCAAGATATTTATTGAGACACTGTGATGTCCCCAAACATTCACAAATTATTGAGAGGACTGTTGCTGGCATAAACTGTTCACAGCCACTGTGGCCTCCACGAAGGAACAACAACAAAAATGACACAACTTTTTGTATCATACAACATTTCAGCTTCCAGCTCTGCTTCTTCTTCTTCTCTTCACACACAGATTGACTTGTTCCGAAGAGCCATTTGACAGACCTTGACTATGACTTAGGTGCCATTTTATCTCCAGGCACTCATTTCAAATTTGGATGGAATTCTCCCCTCTCATTGTGATGAAATGTCATTGTATGTTCAAAGTGAATAGATTCTCAAGTCTGTTTGTTAGCTTTATAAGTTAGATAAGGTTGGTGAGTGATGTTGTGCTTGCTTATTAAGATTTGTTCCAAATACCACATTGATTTTAAATCTTCATATAGAAGACAATACGTGATACATTGAGTGAAATATATTATGTGAAGGTATGATGGAATATTTGGGAGCTCCATGTCCTTTACTGCTCACACTTGAGGCAGCACAGGAAAGGAAGATTTTTAAACAAGAGTTTCAGATTTTATTGTCGGCTATGCAGTCAGATGAAAAACCAGATATACAGAAAATTGCTGTTTTTCTTAATGTGGTGGGCACTGTATAATTCCTTTGAGCTGTCTGCTGAAGAAACAGTTATAAGGCACCAAAGGAAAAGTACTGTCTTCCTAAAAGTAACATGACAATTGGAAATATAAATTTAGATCAAAATATTAGCAAGATGGAGAAACATTTGTAATGTTTCAGATTTCAGAGCAAAAAGGTTGACTTGCAGTTTTGGAAGGGATTCCTTAACAATGTGGCATATTTGCAGGGAGATGGTCTGACCTAAATCATGATATAGAAGCTTCTGTAAAAGATTGTGAGGTATGCTTCAAATATCAGGAAAAAAGTAAAACAACCTATGGACTTTTTAGCACCATGATCAAGAGTGAGAATGGATTTGTTTGAATAGGAGGGGCATCAATATTTACATGTTCTTGACCATTATTCACATTATCCAGAGATCTGAACTAAACAATCTGAGTGCAAAACTTGTCATAGGCAAATTGAAAGTTGTTTTTACAAGACATGGTATTCCACCGATGGTTATGTCAGACCGTGAGCCAAAATTTTGTTGTCAGGAGTTCAAAGATTTTGCTTCTCATTATGAATTAAGGCATGCAAAGTCTAGTCCAGGATATCCTTAGTTGAATGCGCTGGTAGAGAATGGTGTCAAAATTATAAATCAAATATTATTTAACAAACATTTACTGCTGTTTGCTGAGCTTTATTAAATTTCAGGGCAGTACCTTTAGAACATGGGTTTTCTCCTGCAAGGTTGCTGGTCAATTTCATGCTTCAGGCAGCTGTTGCCACTGGCTGTCAGCATGGCACCTTATCATCAAATAAGTAAGGAGAGCAAGTCGGGCAAGTAAGAAGAACCTTTCATAAAGCTGCAAGTTCACAGGTGCCTCTTTCAGGGAGGACTTCCATACAGGGTCTTAGGTGTTTGCCCCCTTTTGTTGCCTACCAGCGCAAAGCCAGTTGTAGAAGCCAGATGCTCCATTGATTTGCAAGCACATTGTGATTTTGTCCCTCTGTTGTCTCTTGAACCTTGATTACTAATTCAGACGCCATACAGATGCTTTTAATGTAATACATTTGATCTCTACTGTAAAGGAATGAGTGAGAGAGCAGACAAAACATAATTAATTTGTAGTTTCTGAACACAACACATCTCCTATGCAATCAGGAAAAGGGTAGTGTGTTGCTAACAGTGTCTCTGCTCACATTGACATGAAAATGTATCATAATCCTTGAAAAAATAACCCCTGTATCTGGACTTCACATCTTTGTACATAGCTGTGTTGCCTAACAGATGTTACTTGACTATATGTTGTCTCCTTTTTTGGCTTAGCCAGGACACCAGGCCATTTTGTGGAAATCCGAGTGTGTTCATCATCAGCTGGTCATAAAACTGTCTCTTTTGCTGATGTTAGATCCTTTTATCTGGACAGTCATGCATGCACCCACAAACAGAAGTGTTCACATGTCATCAAAGGAAACATGACATGCAGGATCTTGTTCCATGTTCCATGCACACCACTTGCAAGGGGGGTGAGAATAGTAATAGAGTATCGTCTCCATTTTAAGTTATTTCTTGGGTGCTCCTGATAACACAAGAGTCTGAAGTTTGGGTTGGATATCAGAGGTCCTTGGAACAACTTGATATGCATTCTTCGGGGCTAAACACTTTGATCAGTGATATTCAGAGGCATAGTAGAGGTGAAAAAAATTTCCAAGAAAAAATGGGGTAGGTGCTATGTCAGTCATTTCCCAAAGCACAGCAGAATCAGTTCCTAACCTCTGTTCAGCTGCTGCCAGAAAATTTAAGCTTCTATAATTTCACTCACAAGTACTGTATGCTGATATAATTGTGATGTGGTTTGTAATATTCTGGTAAAGAAAGAAGAAGAAGAAAATAAGTTCATTTGATTTCTGAATGTCCAGTGAAAAAATTGCTAAATGTGGGCATTCATTGACAACTTTTAAGCTATCTGTCAAATTCCAAGAGCTGCAGGCACCCATTCCCACACAGCCTTCTAGGATCTTCTCCTTATGCTTTTCATTTACCTTGTGTCTGCTTCCTATCAGGTGATTCTCCCTTCCTATAGCTTTGGATATCCCCACTTTGGAAACAATACATTAAGGCAACAATATAATGCCAGTTTTTTCCACTGTAATTTCATTTATTGGTTTACTTGTTGCTTGTCAAATCAAAATGTTTATTCGGCTTTACGCCCATCATAAAGCACAACACACAAAACAAATCAAATAAAACAGCGGTCTCGTACAAGCCACAAGTAATATAACACAATTCACAGCTCACAAGGACAAATATTGGCAAATCAAAACAGAAATTTAAGATTAAAGTTAAAAATTTAGGCACTACGCTAAAATCAATATCTGATGTCAATATCAAAAATTCTTATAACTATCAATAATCAGCTAACATTCCATTCCGTCTCTTGTACGAGAGAACGGCTGTTAGGAATTTAGCAACCTGTAGAGTAATATAAGGATCTGCATCTTGAAGAACCCAGGCAAGCTGTAGGTCTACTGGTTTGTCAGCCATAGGCTGGATTATGGAGTTTAGTATACTAGCGCGAGCTGAACTGTACATAGGGCAGATAAACATAACATGATGTAAAGATTCAGATGTTTTCATTTCACAAGCACACATTGAAGGGACTTGGCCCTTAGTGAATCTATGTCTCAGCACGTTTGTTGGAAAAACATTGAACCTGGCTCTAATGAAGGCATATCGGTGAGATGCGGCTATAAGCGATGTTAAGTAGGACGGAGCACGATAGATAGGGGTTATGCCGAGATTTAACGGGGAGCAGGCTCCACCACCAGCTAAGAAATTTTGGTATAGCTCCACATCATCCAGCCTTTGATTTATACACCTTTTTGCCGCGTTTAGATCCAGTTTGAGCAATTCCGTGGGCGAGATCTCATAGGACAGCAATTTGGCATGGATTTTTCCTGACCACAAATTTGTGAAGTCATCCCGCCACATGCATTGAATGAGATAATGGTTCGGTAGTTTATGCCATAGGGATATCCAATAAATCAAAACTCTCCTCCATAAAACTAACTCCACTGAGGGATCTTCATTTCTAAGCGAATAGCCGCATTACTTACGCATGTTGGTAGTTTTAGAAGTCGGCGTAAGAATTGGCTTTGAAGCGACTCTAAAGGTGAGAGGTTTGCAAAAGCAGCCCATAAAGGTGCAGCATAGGCCATTGTGGCCATCACTTTAATGCTATACACTTTCAAGGCCGCAGGGATGAGTAAGGCCCCCTCAGAGTAGAAAAAAACGGAGGAGGGAGTGTGATAGGGCTTTTGTCTTGTTTTGAAGATATTCAACGTGCGCTTTCCACCCTAGATTATATTGAAAATAAATTCCTAAATATTTAAATTTGTGTACTTGTTCGATTTTCGTGCCCTCCAATTTCCATGAATATAATTTTCGACTCCTTGAAAATATCAGTACTTTGGACTTGGTGTGGTTGATAGACAGATGATTAGAACGGCAATATGATGCAAAAATCTTTAGTGCCCTCCTTAAACCCACTCTGGAGTAAGAGAGTAGTACCGCATCATCTGCGTAGAGAAGTAAAGGACAACGATAATCTGCTATACGGGGGGTGTGGATAAATTTTTGTGAGTCGATTAATGGGTTCCTCATATCACTGATAAATAAGTTAAAAAGAAGAGGCGCTAAAATACAACCCTGGCGTACACCCTTATTTACTGGCACTGGGTTAGTTAGGTCTCCAGCAGGGGATATTCTTACCCTGGCCACGGATCCGGCATGAAGTTGGGAGATAAGCCACAGGAGCCTTCTATCTATTCCCCAGCAGGCAAGTTTATCCCATAGTAACTGCCTCGGAATACTATCAAACGCAGCTTTCAAATCTATGAAGGCTGCGCAAAGTTGGCCCCGTCGAGGTGTCGAGTATTTCCGGGCTAAGTGATAAAGAATAATTGCCTGATCTGTTGTGGATCGATTTAATCTAAATCCGGCTTGCTCATGCCCAATCAGGTCAGCCTCAGCTGACCACTTCATCAGCCTTGCCAGCAAAAACGGGCATATATTTTCCCAATGGACGATAGCAGACTGATATTCCGGTAATTCCCTGGGTCACCGGGAGGGCCTTTTTTGTAGATAGGAATTATAATGGCCTCCTTCCACGTACCTGGTATTAAGCCCGTGGCATTTATTGCGTCAAACGTTTTAGCTAAAATCCCTGCCCACCATGCAGAATGTAGCTTTATAGCCTCAACAGGGACCAAATCTGGCCCAGGGGCCTTACCAGTTTTCAGCTCAGCTATCAATTCTAGGATTTCAGCAGGGTCGGTATTGTGCCAGACGGGAAGGGGATTAGAAGGTCTCCAGTGAGTGGCCGGAGCTTCTGCCACTGAGAAATATTTTCTCAGGAACTGCTCCCATGTAGGGGCCGGGATCACCGTTAAGGGGTATTTCGTGTTTCTTCCCTTAATTAAGGACCAAAATTTCCGGGAGTTATGAGATTTTGAGGCAGAAATTATAGTCTGCCAGCGATTTAAATGCCATTCCCGTTTGGCCGATTTCTGGGCCTGTTTGTATGCTTTTTAGCCAGGGAATAAGATGGAGGTAAGGCCAGAGCGCCGGAAAGTTTATAGTCATTATATATTGTATGTAGATGGAGTCTGGCTAGTTTACAAGCAGAGTTGAACCAAGGGGCGCCAAATTTAAAATAATCGTTTTTAACTCCATAGCTTGGAGAAGTAAAAAAGCGAGTTAAAACTTCTATCAGGCAAGAGAAAAAATTCATACAGGTAATAGGATCACGCGGGACTATTCCTACGTCCGGCTGATCAACAAGAAACAATATACTACGTCCTATATCTAGGAACAATCCAGTAGATTACTCCCTTCCTTAAAGTGACATGGTTCCACCCTTGTTTGCTTTGATCTCGGAAAGGGAATGGGGACTGTCTCCTCCGAATCTCTAAGACGTTTCCCATATCCCATAATTCAGATATCGAGTAGAGGGGGGATAGCATTTTAACGTCAACTAAATATTTCCTTCAAGCCTGCCACACTTGCAGTGGGGGTATATTTCACTGCCTGTTCATATGTAAGTCGGCGTCTTCACCTTCACCCTCACAGTCCGGCAATTTAGTTCGACAAGGAGACTACCGATAAGCAACACAGACCATTCCTTTGAAGTCCTACTCCCACCAGGACTAAGACTAATATAAAATTCTCCTTCGGAGCTTATCACAGGGCCCACCGTGGGTCGGTCTCAGATAAAGGGAAACTCCCGAAGGCCTCACCAGATCCCAGAGAGAGAGGAGACTCCAAGAAGGCAGCGTAAGGATCCACCCCGATGCTTCAGTTTCAGCCGCTCCTTGTTTCTCGGCGTTTTTCCTCCCCCTCCTCCTTTTTCTAGACTTTTAACTTGAGCTTTTAACTCAAGCCTTGAATATATTAGTTAAAAAACAGCCAAATGTTGTAGATAAAATACTAAGGCTGATAAAAGCCGAATAAAAACTGATAAAACCAATAAAAACTAATAAAAACCGCACAACTGCTGCGGAGCTCAAGTCAGTGCCTCCACCAACAACGCCATCTTGGGTGGGTCCTCGGACAGTCAGGAGATACAGTGAAGTTTGCAAGAAGAAATAATTATAATCCCTGATGAGCAGGCATTTCAAAACCAAATTTTGACAACATGGCTCAAGCACAATGGTCAGATGGGAGATATCACACTGGAGACATGCATGTTGTTGCTTGTCCCATTTGTATCTTACCGCTGTGCTTCCATGTTTATCCACCTCTGTGCCATGGTCAAAACTGCAAATGGTTCTTGATAAAGTCTTCATTCTGTGTGCTTTTTGCATACACACAAAAACATGCTTCTCCACATGGATATCCAAACACAAACTGCAGATTTGTCCAACAGAGTCTGCAATCAACAGTTTCACTAAATATGCCAAGAAATGTTTTCTTCAGTAGTTTTATTTCTTTTCCAGTAAATGCTTGCATTTTTATTATATCCATCACTTACATGTCTTGAAATAATCTTGTGTGATAGCACCAAACCATTTGCTTGTTTCATTGTGAAGAAAGCAGGAGTCCCGGCAGCCATCCTCCCAGATTTTGGGGACCTAAAATAGAAATCAGAGAGAAAATGAACTACACAAAGGCAAAGAAAGGAAGCCCCTACCTTTCCTTGCAGGAACGTTCTTCTTCTGGTCCCTTTCCTTATTGAGGAGGAATGTCAAATTCCTTTATTGTGAAAGGGCTGGAAATCAGACACCATCTGCATAGCAAGCTCAGTCGCCATTTCCCCACTGCCTGTTCTGTTTTCCTGCAGATTCTTTGCACATCCTCAGCAGCGCTGAGCAACAGCGACACAGAATGGTCAAAACTGGAACTGCGTGTATTTCATGCTAAGCAGAGAACACTTTTCTCGTGTTTTCACTCATGGCAGGTGATATGAGTTTTGCCCATTTAATAAGTGTGCAAATACTGGAGACAAGCATAGAAAAACCCCAAAGCAAGTAACTGTAAGGCAAGTTTTGGAGCACCTGAAAGACTAACCAATTTATTATGCCATACGTTTTTGTGGACTTCAGTATGAACATGCCTGAAAGGTTATCCTGGGAGAGAAACAGTTGCAGGAGGAAATAAGGTCAGGAGGAAATGAAATGCAGAAAAGGACAAGCTGTGGTAATTATACACTTGTAATTCACAAAACAGTTCTTGATGGCTGAAATATACTTGGAGTCGAGAGTGGATTTCATGCTCTTTATTCAGCTCATAGTGGTGAGGAGGAATGAATGTCCCTCCAAAATATCTGCTTTATATACATTATTTACACAGTGGGCTGCCCGTGATTGGCTAATTCCAGGATTCTCCTGTAGACCAATCAGGTTGTGGATTCACTTCCACCTGGAGCTGGATTGGGTGGCTCCTGCGGACCAGTCATATTGCTGCATTTTGGATCCTATTGTTCTAGGACCAATCAGACTGCTGCATTTTGGATCCTATTCAACTCAGTACATAACAATGGCACAGACATTTTGGCATTGACAAGCCAATTAACCCATATACTGTTCTAAAAATCTTATGTCTCACCTCAAACTACAAGTGATAGCATTTAAATTTTGATTGTTTGATTGTTTTACATTCCTATGTCCCTTTGAAATTCTTTTGCTGGCAATGGCCATGCACATTCACTAAAATGAAGTAGTTGCAGTGGTACCTCGGGTTACATACGCTTCAGGTTACAGATGCTTCAGGTTACAGACTCCGCTAACCCAGAAATAGTACCTCGGGTTAAGAACTTTGCTTCAGGATGAGAACAGAAATCATGTTCCAGCGGCACGGCGGCAGCAGGAGGCCCCATTAGCTAAAGTGGTGCTTCAGGTTAAGAATAGTTTCAGGTTAAGAACGGACCTCCAGAACGAATTAAGTTCTTAACCCGAGGTACCAATGCAGTAGGTTCTCTAGAACCTTTGTTGGGGTTCTTCAAACTTCGTCTCACTCCTTCTTTTGTTTTTCAGATTCTCATCTTTTTTGCTGCAGATGTTAAACAAAATAGCAAGAATGTGAGGTGGTAAGAGAAATCTGGGCACGATGGGAAAGTTGCACTGTCAGTAGTTTGCAAGAGTTTTCGTGTGGAGATGATCTGTAGATTTAGGCTGCATAATAATATTTGAGTACAGGGATTACTTCTGAGTGGGAATCCATAGAACTGCCCAGTGAATTTAATTAGATTGTGCTAGGTACAAATCAGATTTCAGGTTGCACTAAGGTCTACTGCAGGAGTAAGGAAACAATTGTTATCTCCCCACCCCCTGGTGCCCACCTATCGATCACTTGACATCACTATGGCATACGGGGATGTTGTGCTTTGAAGTCCCAGATGCTGGACTTTGTACCACTGTTTGAAAGCCTTTTGCTGTTGGAAACAGGGGGCTCAAACAAGAGTGGTGGAGGGCTGCCTGAAATCCCCCTCTAAAAGCACTAGTTTTTGTTCCCTGCCAAACACTTGATCAGGAGAAAAGAAACAAGTTGCCTTTTGAAAGTCTCATATATAATAATATATATCATTTGTCTGTCTATTTCTCCATCTACCATCATCTATCTATCTATCTATCATCTATCATTTATCTATTTATCTATATCTATCTACCTATCATCTATCTATCTATCTATCTATCTATCTATCTATCTATCATTTATCTATTTATCTATATCTATCTATCTATCTATCTATCATCTATCATCTATCTATCTATCTATCTATCTATCTATCATCTATCTATCTATCTATCTATATCTATCATCTATCTATCTATCATCTATCTATCATCTATCTATCTATCTATCTATCTATCATCTATCTATCATCTATCTATCTATCATCTATCTATCATCTATCTATCTATCTTTCATCTATCTATATCTATCATCTATCTATCTATCATCTATCTATCATCTATCTATCTATCTATCTATCTATCTATCTATTTCCTCGGCCACTCTGGGTAGCTTCCAAGTTGCCAATCTGACATCAAACATGCCTTTAGAAGGCCTTCAGATGCCTTCTAAAAGGCAGGTAGTTTATTTCTTTGACATCTGATGGGAGGGCATTTCACAGGGCGGGCGCCACTATCAAGAAGGCCCTCTGCCTGGTTCCCTGTAACCTCACTTCTCTCAGTGAGGGAACCTCCAGAAGGCTCTCAGAGCTAGAATGATAGAATTGTAGAGCTGGATGGGATCCCAAGAGTCATCTAGTCCAACCCCCTGCATTGCAGGGCTTTCAATCAAAAACCTCCAAGGAAGAAGAGTCCACAAGCTTTCAAGGGAGTCCATTCCACTATCAAACAGCTGTTATTGTCAGGAAGTTCTTCCTGATGTTTAGTTGGAATCTCCTTTCTTGTAACTTGAGCATGCAGCCAATCCTTCCCAAAGGCAACTGTTTTTCTCATCTCCCGCTCATCTCTAGGTGATCACGTCTGCCCGGTAACAGATGAAGACTTTTGAAGGGCCCAATACATGGGCATCTAGTATGTTCCCTTTTAGGAATCCTAGTTCAAAGCTAAAGAGGGTGACCAAAGTAAAGATCAAGAAGTAAATGCTAAGAAACAACAAATGGATCACAACTATGCCAAGAGGTTGTGGGGGGGGGGTGATGCTCAAGGCTCATCCCTCTGGGAAGGGGTTCCTTACTTATAGGTTTGGATAATATACTTGAGGCTGGTAGTGTCACCCACCCAAGGAAACTGCAGATGGACTGGGGACTCAGTGATATGGGATCATCAGACAAATGGCATATCATAGCTAAAAGCTGCTGGGAATATAGAAGCAAAGCAAAGCAAGGTACATAAAGCATGCTTGGATAATAATTTTAAATAGAGCATTGATTAACACATATTTTTTTTAATAAGGGGTCATTCCATATCAAGTGATCCAACTTTTTTACCTCATGTCATCCAATTTTCTTAATATTTTGTACACTTGTTGAATGATCAAAACTAAATTTAAATATAAATTTTTAATTCTTTATCTCATCATGTTTTTGAGTTATGAGGGTTTGCAATTTCAAAAAATATATATGACAATTTTGATCCAAGTGTTTACTTGGTTCCTTGGTGGGCTGGTCCCCCCCAGGTGGCTCAGCATTCTGCAGGACATCATAGGTTCCCACAGGTTGAGTGGACTCCACTGAACTCTGATCACAATGAGCATACATGTCTGCCACTTTCTTTGATCTTCTTTTCATCAATTCACTGCCTCCTAACAATTTAACCACACTAGGAGGTGTGTTAACTACAGCTTGTTTGGCCTCTTATCCCACTTCTGTCACCATATAAAGAACAGACGGTGCTCAGGAACTGAGCACTAGCTATCTTTTGATATAAAGGTGCCAAATGACTAGGATAAAATAATCCCTGTAAGGTAGAAGGTGCCACCATTGCTGCTTGTTTATCCAATATATAGGAGAGAACCTCATTTTGCATACTAGACAACCTGAAATTCCAGAAAGCAAGAGCTGAACAACCTGACTCTTCCTCTTGAGCCCCAAGCCCCGACTACTCTGGAGCAGTTAAGCAAGTGAACAGGTACACCAAGATTATAGTGACAGAAATGCTAATAATTATTAAAAACAGCAGCATGAAAGTTGTTACCAGTGAAATAAGACCATTAGGCAAATAATCAAAGCATGAGAATACTATAAGGTAAAACAATGAACTTAATTTACCTAACTTTAATATTTAGCCATTAGAGCAGTTGACTGCAGTGAAATCCAGCAAACAGCACCCAAACACAGACCAGAGTGCCCCAGAGTGGCTGGGACAACCCAGGCAGATGGGCGGGGTACAAATAATTTCTTATTACAGTGGTACCTCGGGTTAAGAACTTAATTCATTCTGAAGGTCCATTCTTAACCTGAAACTGTTCTTAATCTGAAGCACCACTTTAGCCCGAAGCAAAGTTCTTAACCCAAAGCACTATTTCTGGGTTAGTGGAGTCTGTAACCTGAAGCGTATGTAACCTGAATCGTATGTAACCCGAGGTACCACTGTACTAGTACTATTATGATTATCAGTGTAACAATCCAGAATGAGACACCAAAGTGGCAAAACCACTTTTAAGGAATCAAGCCTGGATACAGTGGCAGATATTCCTTGACCAATAAGAGGCCTGAATAGCTGTAAATTTGTGGACATACTACTTCACCACAAAGGAGCCTGACTTGAGCTATGGGATGAGAATACAAAAGTTTTATCCAGCTTCTTAGTTCCCCATCTGTATTAAAGTATTCCAATATTT